GCACTCTATCTAAAACACTAGAAGGCACTCTATCTAAAACACTAGAAGGCACTCTATCTAAAACACTAGAAGGCACTCTATCTAAAACACTAGAAGGCACTCTATCTAAAACACTAGAAGGCACTCTATCTAAAACACTAGAAGGCACTCTGTCTAAAACACTAGAAGGCACTCTATCTAAAACACTAGAAGGCACTCTATCTAAAGCACTAGAAGTCACTCTACTAGGAGCACTAGAAAGCACTCTATCTAAAACACTAGAAGGCACTCTATCTAAAACACTAGAAGGCACTCTATCTAAAACACTAGAAGGCACTCTATCTGAAACACTAGAAGGCACTCTATCTAAAACACTAGAAGGCACTCTATCTAAAACACTAGAAGGCACTCTATCTAAAGCACTAGAAGGCACTCTATCTAAAACACTAGAACAGGATGCTTCGTGCAAAAAGCTTACATCAGCGACACCTCCGAGCTGCTGCCGCAGCTGGGGCAGCACTTTGAAGAGATCCTTTGGAGACAAAGGTTCGGTAAGATCTTCTGAATGCGGCCACTTGCGGGAACTGCCTCGAGGCATCCTGTCTCCGATTGTTGGCTCAAAAGGAGCCTCGTCTTCTCCCCCACCAGGACCGTAGAACCCTCCAGCCACTGGTGCTGCATGAAGGGGGTCGTATGAGCCATTGAATATTCCCGAGCACGTTACGCAGTTCTCAGCGTCGGAGGAGGCTTCACAGCAAAGTAAGCCTTGGCCTTGTGCAGAGTGAGAGGCAGGGTAGCTCGGTGATTCGTCGCCTTCTCCAGCAAGTGTCGAGAGAGAGTGCTGGCTGCTGGTTGCTGTTCGATCCCCCTCCCCCATACTCCAGCCCCTGTAGAGAGATTCCTCTGGGATCTGAAGAAAAGGCAGCGCGAATACGCAGACACATGTGCGTTGCCAGGTGCTCTGATGGACGTCGAGGGAGGTGTGTTCAATGAAGGCTATGCATGCAGAGCTTCTCCTGAGGCAGCGTCGAGACTGGGGAAGTCTTACCTGGAAAAAAGGCTTATTTGAGAGCACTTCGCATGAAGCCTGTCCTTCTGGAAGGGGGTGGCATGCGAGGAGCAGTGGTTCGCGAGGCTTCCCCGATCCGTACACAGAAAACGACGCCAGGGAAGGGGCACTTGTAGGGGGGGGGAAGGGGTCTAAAAATTTAATCTTGATGCGGCTTTCTGTTTGGGGAGGGGCGTTCTTCGGAGGAGGATCGAATACACCATGACTCCAATCTGGAACCTCGACAGGGGGGGGCCCTCCATGATGCACAATCGGTAAGAAGGGACTGCCACCCCTACTGCCCCCCTCCTCGCAGGGGAATCCAGAGTTGCGCATATGCCGCTCTGGCCGCTTCTCGCCTCCTCCCCCCAATGGGAGTGCTGCCGCTCCTAAGGGTGGAATGAAGGCTGGAGACTCAGAAAACGGCCCTTCAGGGGATTCAAGGCCTGGGAAGGCACCCTCGCCTACTGCAGAGCAAATGCGGATCCAACCAAGGCAGAGCGCGACGCCAAGCAGCAGCCGAGGCTGCACACGCTTTCTGAGGACCACCATTCCTACGAGTATTTTAAGGCACCTGCATGTTCACGCACTCGCATTAGGCTCAGGTGTAGGCTGCTGTTGAGCACACGAAGCACAACAGCTACGGCAGTTCATATTCGAAGATGGAGAGCCACATGAGCATAGGCGACTTGCCTGAGGAGAGCTGAGAGCCCTGCTAATGTCTCTTAGATGAACTTTAGGGGCTTTCAGTGCACGAAAAAAACAAAATCAGTCTTGGTGGGCAAGAACACGAAGTCGCAAGAAAATGAACGGCGGGAGGTATTCAGGATATACGACTCGTGAGCCTATGGCAGGACCGCCTTGAAGGACCCTTGAGGCCAGCTCGAAAAGTTTCACGTCAAAAGAAAAAGCCAAACAATAGATATGCAGAGAGTAATTAGCACCAAGCCACTTCACGCCAGAAACTATATAAAGCAGCAACGTGGGGGCGCACGGGCAGAGCGTGCTGCAAGGGAAACTGCAGCAGACCGAGTTGTACTCGACGGTCCATCATGACAACGCCTCGTGTCAGTAATCATAGTACACTAATTTTACCGAAATTTACCCTTAGTACATACTAGAAACATATCTAAGCTTCATGCAGCTCAAATATACAATTTAATGCAATATTTCTGGGCTTTCAACACCAGAGCATGGCCGCATGGCTCCCCCTTGTCACTGCAACCGCTACAACAGAAATGAATAAATCGCTTAGACTTCCTTGTCCTTCCTGAATCAGACACTGTAATTGACCACTTCTTGCACAGATTTCAAGCAAACTGTTTTTCTAGACCGGCATTGCAGCCTTTTCCACACACTAGGGAAATCAAGGGTCACTGAAAAAACTCGCGTAATGGTTTTGCATGCAGTTTTGGATTAGAAGTCGTCAGAGTCTGTACGCACAGCAAATGATACTCCTTGAGCAAGCGTCTGTACTTACCCCGTGTGTCAGTGATCTAGACAAACCATACCTAAGGATCTAGGTGGCCAAGGTACACTCCTTCTACACCCCTTGTACTTCAACTCCTCTTTGGCAGTGCACACTGTAGGTATGCGACAACACAGCGAATAGGAGAGCAAGTATCTGTTGAGTCATGCAGACTGACTCCTGGTGTGCAACGGTGTGTGATACAGCGGGCTAAACTACACTAGTTGGCTTGTTTGTTGGTGTAGCGTATCATTGCACAGGAATGCTAGCTCGATACGACGAGGTGTTTGACGCAGATTTGCCTGCGTCATACATACCCAGATGCAATGTGCGACTACCCGTGAACGCTTAGAGGGCTTAGAGAGTGCACCTATGCGCATCCTTGGTGTCGCTCTGCCTTCATGTCGGGAGTCCTAGGGGCCCAGTAAGGGTAACGAGGATCCTCTTCTGGAAAGCATGTGATAACAACTTATCAGGCTTGCAGCAGTGAGTGTTAAGAAGAGTGGTTCGAGGCGAGGCTGGAGCGAACTCATCTCGTTCAAAAAGAAATGCATCACGGCGCATCTAAGAGCCACCTTGCTCTGCATTTATCTAGGAGGCCAAAAGTTGATCTAAGCCACCCGCACTACTACAGACAGGCGGGCAAGCCAGGGAGCCTCGATGGATGTATGCATATATGTGTCCACATATATACATATGTACATGTGTATTCGTGGAAATGCTCAGCGAAGAAAAGGAACTACTTTCTAAGCCTGCATGAACGATAGGCCCCCTTCAGTTTGCTGTACTGACCCTAACGTGGCGGCTTTTCGGCGGCTTGTGCCTGAGAGAATCTCTCTCCCCGTTTTATTTTAGTTGCCCAAGCTTCCTCTCTAGCAACTCCTAAGTGTGGCACCTCTCTAGCTTAATAAGGGCTACAACGCGGCAGCAGGATAACCACCGGGTAAAAAGGCATATAACCTGAGAATACAATCTCTGTTTGCCTCTGAAGAGGCACGCAAAGCAGTTCATGTATTAATTCCACCCTCCTTTTCTGTCGCTGCTGCAGCAGAAGCTTAAGGCCTCCCGCTGCTTCCTAGATCAGTCTACACCCCAGCAAGCAGCAGTAGCTCTCCCTCTTCAGTCACCATCGATCTGCGACCTCCCAAGGGAAACACTGCAGACTGTTTGTTCGCTGCGTTGGTTTCTGCATCTCCCGCTTTTTTATGTGCCCCAAGGAGACGCGCCAGGGCACTAGGCGCTCCACTCCTTCCTGCTGCTGGTGCAGCTGTGTTGCGACTAGAGCTACTGCTAGGGTGTAGAGACACTCCGGGGGGCACAACCGCCTCTGCGCCTACGTGCAACTGATGCAGCAGCACAGGACCGCCCTCCCCCAACCCGACAACTGACCAGCAGCGCAGCATCATGCCTTCGCCACGGCTTCCAGAGGGAGCAGCAGCCGTGACGAGCCACACCTCAGGAGCAGCGCTCCCCCATCCAAACGCACGCGTAACAGCTACGGAGACTATGGGGGCCCCCGGGTGGGCCCCCCACCTGATAACCTCCTCCTCTAAGCCCACTTCTACCGCATGCACCGACCCCTCCGTATCCCCGTACACAACGCAGCGCAGCGCAGCGCAGCTGCCGTTGCAGCACGTCGCTCTGAGGCTGCTGCTGCAGCAGCTGTCTGGACACCCCGCAGCAGCAGCCAGACACGCTGGACAGCACAAGGGCCCCTCCTGCAGAACCGCCAAGCAGAAACATGTCGGAATGTGCGTGGCAACGACATCCCAGGTGCCGCCGCTACTGCCTGCTGCTGCCCCTTCCTGCATGTCGGATGCAGCTTGCGACGCAGAAGCCGCGAGACGCGCTCTGGTGTGCAGAAGATCATCGCAAGTAATCACAGAAACGAGTCGAGGGGCCCCCGAGGGCCCCACACTCGTGAGCTGCCAGATACAGAGACAAGGCCCCTCAAGAGAGGGCATGCGGCCTTTGCATGCACCGTCGGGTGTCTGTACTCCCGAACGCGTAGGCGACACATCGTCTGTATCAGACGCCGCCGCTTGCGAGCCAAATCCCCACAAACTGACAGCCCAGCTCGTAGAATCAAACCAGCCTTCTTCTTCTTCGTCGCCTCCGCCCTCCTGCCGCTCTTGACCCCGTGGCGCCTTCCCAGCAGCAGTGGCTGCAGCTGCAGCTGCTGCTGCTGCTGCCTTCGTGCCGTTGCCTGCAGAGAGGGGGGCCCCCAAGCCTCGAAAGAAGCCTCGACGGCCTCTTCCCGCGACTCGAAAAGCCTTAGCACGCCACCCAAGGGCCTTATGCGAGCCTCCGATCACTGGAGCTGCAGCAGTGGGGGGCTGCTGCCGCATCGCAGAAGAAATTGAGAATCTCGAAATAAAAGTGCGCGAGTGCAACACACGCGCCACAAAGCCTTGCTTCGCCTGGGATCGAAGCCCCCCCAACAGACGCAACGCATGCGGCCTCCTCCTTGACTTGCCTTTCAAACCTTCGCCCTTGCTGCTCCCAAGAAGCGTCTGCTGCTGCTTGTCGCCGCTCATTTCCGCAGCCTCCACGGAGCGCAGACGCTGCAGCAGCGTGCGGGGTGTCGCGACACCAGGAACCAACAGCGTCGTGCTCTGCAGCAGCTGCCGCTCAACGCCGATCCCCAGCGTCACGACAAAGCAGCCGCTGCCATCAGCGGCTGCTATCTGCTGCGTCACCGTGTGCGCCTTCCAGCAAAGGGAAGGTCTGCATGCGCGCTGTCGCTGCAGATCGTAGCTGCCGCTGCTGCTATTGCTGCTGCTTGGAGGGACGAATGCGTTGCTTCTGCTGCTGTCGCCGCCCCCCCACCCCCCCCGAGAAGAGCCTCTTGCTGCTGCGGCAGCTGCTGCCGAGGCGCTAAGAGTTTCTGCCACTACGGAGGGGGAGAGGAGGGGCCCCCGGAGAAGCGAATACAGATACACCCACCCTGACGCATCTGAAACAAGGAGACTGTCTCCCTGAAGCACCCAAGCAGCACACGTCACATCCGGTGCTGCTGCTGTTGCTGTTGCTGCGGATGACTGCATAGCGGCAGTATGCGATGCGAAAAGCTGCTGCTTCAGACTCTGCTGCTGCTGCTGCTGCTGCTGCTGCTGATTTTGTTGAGACCGCAGCATGAGCGGCAAGGCGTGAGACAGTCCCCCTTTTCTGAGCTGCTGCCGTTGCTGCTGCTGATCTGTAGGCTGGAAGTCTACGGTGTCTATCCGGCAAAACTCAGCAGAGCCAGCAGCAGCAGGAGCAGCTGCTCCTGCTGCAGCAGCTGCTGCTGCTGCTCTAGGGAGGCTTCGCGCGCCAGTTCCAAAGGGCCTAAGAACCGGAGTGAGGATGGAGGGGCCCCCTGGGTAGAGGGGCCCCTGAGGGGCCCTTAGGAGCGCTGCGAAGATGGGAAGAAACGGGTGTGCAGCGACAACGCCAGAAAACTCAAAAGCCACACGCATGGAAGACAAGGGAGAAAAAGCTCCATAAGGGAATACGGGGGGGCTGTTGCTGCTGCTATGGCTGCTGCTAATGCTGCCGGTGACAGCATCCGTCACACGGGCAAGAAGTCGCGAATACAAACAAAGCCGCGAAGTCTGCGTGATCAGGAAGAGCGAAGTGTCTCTAGACAGCATGTGCCCCACCCATTCGGCTGCCCCCACACGTCTCCGCTGCTGCTGCTGCTGTTCAGACAGCACAGAAAAATTGCCGCTTTCTCCTTCATTCCCTTCTTCTTCGTCTTGGTCGTCTTCGAAAGACAGAGGACGCCGTGAACGCAGCAAACACGGAAAAGCTCCTCCAGATCCGCATACATCCGATACTAAGGGCAGATGCAGGAGGGGGAGGGAGGCGAAAGAAGACGTTGTTGCTGCATTTTTTTCCCGCTGCTCTTGCTGCTCTTGCTGCTCCTGCTGCAGGAGGAGGGAAGAATAGTGGACTCGACGTGCTGCCTTTCTGTAGCGGCGCTCTGCAGCCGCTGCTGCTGCAGCCGCAGCAGCGCAGTGGGTGCTCTCCTGGCTGACGACTCCCAGCAGCGCATGCGGCAGCGTGAAGGCACGGAGGCCCCTGGGGGGCCCCTCGGGAGTGCGGAGGCTTGCGACGAATTCGCTCGAAAGATTCAATCCTGCTGGACTGCAGTGTCTGCTGCAGCTGCTGCTGGTGGCAGCAGCAGTTACTGTTCCCAGTAAGGCTGCAAGCGGCAAGCTTCCCCACTCGTGCTCAAGAGCGACAAGCGCGGCTGCTGCGCTGCACTCCGCTGTTTGATGCTGGAGTGCGCGCTGCCGCTGCTGCCGACTCCACGGAAACAAAGCTCCGCTGCGATTGCGCCTTGCCACTTCAAAAGCATTGCCAAGGCTGCTGTTGCTGCTGCAGAGGGACTGCACGACGCTCCCTGGAAACAGCGCTGCAGCAATAACCGGAAGAGACGGAATGCACGTTGCTCTCACGATGTGCTCGGCGACGCGGCTGGATAGGACTTGCTGATGGTGGTTGTGGGTGGGGTTGTGGTTGTGGTGATGGTGGTGGTGGTGATGGTGGTTATGGTGGGGTCGGTGGAGTTCGTCATGCAGAGGATTGCCTCCATCTAGAGGGGGGAGAGCACTGTTGAAGCGGCGAGCTGCCACTCTCTGGGTAGAGCTGCTGTTCGCAGCAGGTGTCAACGACAGTCTCTCTTTTGCTGCTGCAGCTGTGCGCGAGGAGGCAGTGCCGCTGCTTTTCTGTTGGCGTTGCATGTGTGCTTCCGCTTCAGCAGTTGTTGGCGAGCTGGAAGCTGCTCCCTCTCGAGAAAGGCGGCTACCAGTGTGCGGTTGGAGCGAGTGGTGGTGTGCATGCATGAGCTTCTGCCGGTGCTGCGGATCAAGAAACTGTCTGCTGAGGTGACGCATGCCTTGAACGAGCAAATCTCTGCTGTGCAGCTGATGCAGCGTTCCGAGAGAAGGAAGCTGGTGCAGCGGCAGAAAAGAAGTCTGCTGCAACGTCCACTGCATGCGGCTGCAGCAGTCAAGGCTCTCCCAGAGACACCCTAGGCCCTTGCCTCCCCACGTCTCTGCTGCTGCTCGCAGCAGCGAAGTGCGTCGCACAGTTCGTGGCGACGCTGCTGCTGAAGCTTCTGCCGCTGCTGCTGCTGCGGTAGGCAAGCTATCGGAGAGCAGCGGCAGCAATCCTGCTGCAGCAGGCAGCAGCGATCGCAGGAAAAGAGGCCTCAACTGAGTGCAAAGGAAATCCGCAACAGAAGCGCTCAAATACGAAAGACTGCTGCAGAGAGAATACGCTTCGTCTGCTGCTGCTCTTGCTCTTGCTCTTGCTGCTCCACCTCCGTGCTCTTCCTCGTGCTGTTGAGGCAACGGCTGGCCATATGACGCGACTTCCTTCTGCTGCAGAACAAGCGCCGCTTTCTCAGCGTCTTGCTGCAGCAGGCATGCAAGAGGCTTGCGATCCTGCTGGCACATGGAGCGCTCCTGCTGCCTCTGCTTCAGAAGATCCTCCTCTGCCAAGGCAGCCACTGCGGTGCGCTGTGCCTCTGCAGTTACGGCTTGCAGCGCCTCCAAAATGAAGTCAAAGATTCGTGTTGCAACGCAGGATGCTATGGCGAAGGCGGGAGTCGATCCTGCGACTGCTGCGGCTATGCCGTCTCCTGCTCCTGCCCCTTCTTCAGCAGCTGTTGTGCCGCGGCAGAAAGAGGCAGAACGGGCAGCAATCCAGCGCGGCTGCAACAGCTGCTGCAGCAGGCGCAACACGTCGTGCTGGAGTAAGAGGCATCGTGGACGACACAAGATGAGTTGCAGCAGCGCTGAGATCTGGGAGGCGAGCAGCAAATTCCTCTCTTCCTCGATCCTGTTGCTGCTGCATCTGTAGTTGCTGTTGCTGCCTCTGCTGCTGCCCCTGCTCCTGCTGCTTCTGAATCTTGAAACTCCCTGCTGCTTGAGGCTGCCGCTGTTGCATCTCTTGAGGAGGGGACTGTCGCATGCGGAGGCAGCTGCGGCTGCTGAAGGCATTGGCTGCGTGTTAGGCCCCCCCTCTGGGGAGAAAACTGCTGGGAAGGATGACAGCACTGCCAGAAAAACGCCGCAGCACCCTACCACAACGACGCTGTACAGCCGCTGCAGCTCTGGCAGCAGCAGCGCACGCGGCGTGTTGCTGCTGCTGCCAGAGCTGCAGCAGCAGCAGCAGCTGCACGCGGAGTCTGTCTGTCTTTGCAGCTCGCTGACGCAGAAAGTGAGGCAGCAGTAGAGAGCTGGGAGGGAAAGGAGCTTGGGGTGTAGGGGCGGCATTTCCAGCGTGTCGCGCAAAAGCTGCACGAGCAGCTGCTGCAGTCCAGGCGTTTTGAAGTGCAGCGGATCCACTGGCAAAGCAGCAGCAGGAGACGCATGCGTGACAGAATCGTCCGAGGAAGTCGAGCAGAAGAAGACACCTGCCAACCCTGCAGACGCGAGGAAGACTGCGTCAGACTGGAGAGGCGAAAGCGCTGCAACGGAGGCAGCAGCAGTTACCCTCCTTGCATCTGCCGCTGCCTCTGCTGCGCTCAGAAGCTGGAAGTACGCCACAGTAGCGAGGTGGTAAGACACAGCCGAGAAAAGCGCAGCGTCGGATGCCTCCAGAGAGCTTCCAGGAGTAGTATGCCCCTCTGGAGTGCCGAGAGACGCAGAGGAAGAAGTCGGCGAAGAACCCCCCCGCAAGCCTGTTGTCGTTGTTGCTGCTGCCCAAGGCATCTGACGAAGACTTCCTTGCTGCTGCATCGACAGGAGATCATTAAGCGCAGCTCGAAGCATCCACGGATACTGCAGCCGCAAGACGCTTGCAGGGCTGCTGCTGCTGCAGCAGCTGCTGCCGCTGCTACTCGGGTAAGCGGCGCATGCGGAGGGAGGGGGAGGCTTGTCGACACGCCAGCAGAGAGCAAGGGAGAGCCGAAAGACGGCTTGCTGAAGCGCTTCCTCGGTGAGCTGGAAGCTCCTAAGGCCTCTTTCCTTAGACATGAGTGGCGGTGTGTCGTCGCAGCTGCTTAGACTGCAAAAAACGGCGCTTGTTGTTGCATCGCTATCTGGAGGCTGCTCTTCTAGAGGAAGCGCTAGCGCTTCCTGCACTTCCTCCGCCGCTGATCCTAGGCATGGGAGTGCGCTCGATGAGCAGCAGAGCTGGAAAGGAGACTGACACAGCAAGGCTTCTCTGCTTCGGGAGACGCTTGCCAGCAGCGGTGGCAGCAGGAGACCTCGCGTGCTGCTGCTGTACACTGCAATGCTGCTGCCTAGACTCTCGATGAGCAGCAGCAGAGGATTCTCGAACGCTTCAGGGGGTAAATGCTCTCCTTGCTGAGGCTGCTGTGCATGCGGCTGGCTCGTTTCTTTCTCTCTGGTCATGACGTTCGCCGCACTGCCTTCACGCCTTGTCATCGAGGGACTGTTGCTGCTGCTGCTGCTGCTGTTGCTGCTGCTGCTGCTGCTGCTGCTGCCAATACACATCTGTTCACCTGTTGTAAGCCTCCAGGAGGGAGCTGTTAGCAGCAGCAGCACACTAGGCTGCAAATCCAGCAAGTTGCGAACAGCAGCAGGGGAGGATTCCTGCTGCTGCTGCTGCAATGCGCTGGATAGAAGCAGCGGCGGAGCTGCAGCGGCAGCGAATGCATGCAGAGCACCCCAGATCGTGGGAAGCTCAGCGTCAGGGAGCAGAAGCCTATGCGAGAAGCCTTTTTTATGAGTGAAATTCGAAAAAGACTCCTCTTTAAGCGCCTGCGCAAGCCCAAAGCGCGAAGCATGAAGCGCAAGAAGAGAAACAGCCGCCACAGCAGCCAGGAAGGATTGCCCCTTTCGGGTGTACAGACAGCTCAGGAGGTACATGTCACATTCTGCTGCGCAACCAGCCGGATCGGCGAAGCTCCCCGAACAAACGTGGCATTGAGTGGCGTTGAGGCTGCTGTTGCCTCCTGCTGTTGTCTTCAGGAGAGATCCTGCCGATCCGCTGCTGCTCCCGTATGTGCTGTTGCCTGTGCAGAGGCTGCTCATACGCACGTGGCTGCTGGCGTCGTGTCTTTGACTGCTCTCTTTCGCCCCTTCGAAGGCGTCCAGGAGAGACTCTTCTCGCACAGAAGCTCCCCCCTGCCACGCCATTCGCTTCTGCTGCACACGTCGCATCGGCAGTGCCTGGCGAATGCACATCCGGTAGAAGGCAAGAGACAGCGAAGGAGCTGACACTCGCCAGCAGTGGTCGTCATACACGCCGTTCTCCCCCACGCTTGCTGAAGAGGTGGACGTTTCTGGAGCAGCCTTGGAAGGCATCCCTGCGGGGATTTGCTGTGAGCGCTGCATGCCTTCTTGGAAGTATGCACGAGGATTAAAAAATTTCCTCTCCTGTGGAGGCTTGCCGTGTGGCAGCTGCTGCTGCTGCGCATCTCCGGTGTAAGGCGGGAGGAGGGCAGCGAAAGCTCGCGCGTAGTATCCAGCGATCCAGTAACAGCAGAAACACATCCAGATGTCGCCTCGTGCTGCAGCCTCGGGCAGGAGTCGCTGCAGCAGCACACGCGAATATTCTGAAGCAGCAGACGAGGCGTTTTCTGGCGTAGTCGAGGACGAGCCGCTGCGTGAGTGGGATGCGAAAGAAGCTCCCGTTCCAGAATCTGCATTCGGCGAAAGACTGCTGAAGACGGAGGCAGATTGTTGCTGTTGAGACTGCGGATAGTAGGCTTCCGAGGCTGCATCCGTTCCGAGAGGAGGTGCTCCAGGAGCATAGACGGCAGATCCTACTCTGCATAGGAAAAGTGCTAGCTGCGTGTCTTTGAGAATTCTGCAGCATTCCCAGCCAGCAGGCACACAGGGCACACGCAGACGCAGCAACACTGCCAGTTTCTCTGCAGCGCAGGAGGGAGGGAGCAGCCAGCGTCTCGAGGCAAAAGGAGGCGCAGCAGCCTTGCCGCTTGAGGCAGCAGTCACAAGGAAAGGCTGTCTTGCCTGCAGCAAACATCCGCTATTTCTCGGTAGCTACTCGCTATCGCAAAGAAGGCAAGCGCTAAGAAGGGGCGCCTTTGTGTCAGCAGTCGAAAGGCGTTGCGCTCCGCTGCGAGACGCCAGCGATTATCCGAAAAATCGGACTGAAGAAATTCAGCTACCTGAACGTGAAAGAACAGGAAACGTTCATGTAACGACACGCATAAAAAACAGACAGATACACACACAGAGTGAGAGGTAGAGAGAGAGAGACAGACACAGAGAGACAGAGAGAGCGAGACAGAGATAGATAGATAGAGAGAAACAGATAGGCATTTACACACACATGCAAAGACACATACATACATATATATACACACACATATACACAAAGATATACACACACATATACACATGTACACACACATATACACATATACACATACACACATGTCAGACACATGGACATGCAGAGACAAACAGACGTATACGAACATACACAATGGCATCACGTGTCATTTATTTTTGTGCCTCAGCAGGGAAATAACGACAAGAATCACAAGAGCTCCAAGAAGCAATAAATATGCCGGAAAAGCGGCGCGGGGGTTTTTCTCTGGAGGAAGACTCTGCAGCATGCGTGTGCTGCGAACGAAAGGGCACTTCAACCAAGAGGGAGGGGAAAGGAAGGAGGCATGAAGGAATAAAGTTGGAGCTTTAAAATAGGCATTTGAACGCCTTAGAGAGAGAGAGCACCGAACGGAAGTGCAGGAAGAAAATGGAGAGAGAGAGAGAGAGAAAGAGCATATGCCCTGGCAAGGCTGCTACGGGAGAAGTACAGCAGATATTGGAGTTTTTCGAAAAGCATGTGGGAAGAGAGGAGAGGATGCTAGGACGCATTAGTAACGCACTCTAGCATTTCCTTGCGCCTTGAATGAAGCCACCATGAGGCTTTTTTTGCCGCTGATGGCTGCCCAGAGAGCGACAAGGTCTGAAGCGCTCGCGGCAGTCCCCCCCCCTACTCCGAAGCTTCTCTGCTGCTGCAGCTGCAGCTGCTGCTGCCGCTGCGTGATGGAAGCAGTGCTGCTCAGGGAAGAAAATGGAGCACTGCTCTCGCTGCTGCCTGGGCTTAAGGCAAGCGTTCCTTGCTGCTGCTGCTGCTCCGCAGCTGCCATCTGGATGGCGTCTGCTAGGAGACAGTCGCACAGCTGCTTGACAGTGGAGGGACTGCGAATCCAGAAGCCGACACCTCGCTGCACAAAAAATCACGCAGACGGAGCAGAAGCTGCAGAGAGGAGGCACAAGCATCCTCGATCGCCGATGTACAGACATTGTCTTCTCTGCAACAGCAGCAGCAGCGTGCCGCTTGCTGCAGAGAAGCAGCCTCTGGTGGGAGCTCCATCACCGACCACAACCCCCCCTGCTTCCCCCCTTCCGTCCAGCTCGAAGGCAGCACCAGACTCTGCTGCGGTAAATCTTCCGAGTCATCAAGCGCGCGCAACTCGCAACTCGCAACTTGCAACTGGAGCAATCGTGATTGACGAGAAAATTCGCGAAAAAAAACTCACCCGACGAAGGATCGGCCATACAAGTCGCCTCTCCGGATGAGCTGCTCTGGATTGCTGCAGCACCAGCTGGAAGAAATCCTCTTCCGCAGCTGCATGCAGACACCAGCAGATGTCTTCGCTGCTCAGAAGTGCTTCTGCAGGCAGGTGTGCAGCAGCTCGAGGAGGAGTCTCTGATGCTGCAGTGGCTGCTGCGAAGGATTTTCCAGACGGCCAGCTGAAGCTTGAAGCCGACTGACACGGCAGCGGAGAGACTGAGCCGCTGCGTAGCCGCTGCTGCTCGTGCTGCAGTTGAGACAGCCGCTCTTGCTGCTGCTGCTGTTGCTGTTGCTGCTGCTGTTGCTGCTGCTGCTGTTCGGCAGCAGCGGCAATTTCTGCCTCCTGCAGACACAAAAGAGACAGACACCGGAACGCCGCAAAAGCAGATGGAGACGCATGAAGGCGGCAGTTTTCGTTTGTTTGAGCAGCTTTTTCAGCTGCACTGCATGTCGTCAAGGGAGAGAGAAGTAGAGCAGCAACGCGAGCCGCAGCGACAGCAAAAACAAAGCCCTCTAGAAGCACTGGACCCACTCGTAAAAACAACAAGGCTAGGTGGAATCTGCGGCGACTGCTGTCAACGCTGCAGATTTGCGTGGCGTGCTCTGCAGTGGCTGCCGCCGCACTGGCAGCGGCAGCAACTGCCCTTGCAGCAGCTTCTGCCTCGTTCTGTCGCATTTTTCTGCTGCTGTTGCAATTGCTGCTGTTGCTGTTGCTGTTGTTGCTGCTTTCAAGACCTTCTTCTTCTGCTGTGCTCTGTCGCGCAGCCGCAGCGACATCCGCAGCTGCCGCAGCTGCGGCAGCTGCAGCGGCAGGGAAGTCTGCTGCAATTCCTGCAGCTGCCACGGCAGTTTGTAGGGGGCTTTGTTGCTCTTCGTCTAGCTGCTGGAGCGCGCTGACAAGACACCGCAACAGCGACACCTCCCGAGGGGTCAGTGCCAAGCCAGGGGAAGGCACAGTTCTCAGCAGCTGCAGAAGCTGCGTGTACTCGTCTTGGGTGAGGCTTGCTCGAACGGGAGCTGCCACGACGACGTCGACTGCCGTTTTTTCCACTGCTTCTCGAAGCGCGGTGGATCCTGCAGCTGATGCAGCTCCTGCTTCTGCAGTTGCCGCCTCCCTTCCTGGAGAAGCGCTCCCAGCTGCCTCAGGAGACTCCTTCTCGGCAGTCTCCTTCGAAATGCTAAAGCCGAGCAACTCCCTCACGTCGAACGGATCGTCGTCTGCAGCGCCGCCAAGACTGCTGTCGTGCCCTCCAAAGAGGGAGAAGGCAGCAGACTTTTGCGCGACGTTTGCTGCTGCTGAGGCTGCTGAGGCTGCGTGTGCTGCCGTCGCTACAGTGCGCGGCGAAGTGCTCCAGTCTAGAGGGCTTATCCAGTCGCTCATGGGCTGTTCTTGCGCATGCCGCGAGAGCAGGCGCTCCCCTCCTTCGCCAAGCGAAAGAGGCGCAGACGGGGAGACGTCGAGAGGCATAGCCGCAGCTGCGGCAGCAACTGCCGTGGCAGCCGAAGGCTGCATGCAGGCAGGGAGACATCGCCGAGCCCACTGTACATACACCTCGGCGCTCTTGGGCCGGCGTCGACGCCACGCCATGAGCCGCTGCTGCTCTGCCGCAGTAAGCGGAGTGCTGCGCTGCTGGAGAAGATCCTGCTGATACTGCGCAGCTTGCTGCTGCGAAATAAGGTCGGAAAGCAGACACCCTGCTGCTGCCATGGCTTGCTGCAGCAGCTGAGCAAGCTCGCATCCGCTTTTGCGCCGACACACTTCGCAGACTGCACTGACACTCACGCCTGCTGCAAAGTCTCCACCCCCAGCAGCAAGGGCACCTCCGCATACACTGCAGCTCCCGTCAGACAACACTGCGCCTCCTCGAACGAGCATTCCAGCAGTGTCGTCGACGAGGGGGCGATCCGCCTCCTCCCCCAGGCTAAAGGACAAGTCTCCGAGTAACGATCGCGATTTCTCTTGCTGCTGCTCTTGCTGCTCTTGCTGCTCTTGCTGCTTCTTCATCCCGCAGCAAGGCTGCGGCTTCACAGCTAGCAGACACCGCAAAAGAACCAACAACAACCATCTCACCGACGCACCGTACCCGCAGCGCAACAGCTGCTGCAGCACTTCTGGGGAGTACAAACGGCAGCTTCCGTGCATCTGAGCCGTTTGCTCAGCAACTACTCCATCAGCGAGAGCATCAGGATCCTGCCTTTCCTGCGAAAGCGACTGATAGGGCACTTCCCCGCCTCTGTTCTGCTGCTGCTGTTGCTGCTGCTGCTGCTGCTGCTGCTGCTGCTGCTGCTGCCGCGCGCGTGCCATCGCCACATCGACGGCAGCCGCTGCTGCAGTCAACGCATGCACGCGCTGTTGCTGCTGCTGCTGCTGCGCAGTTGCTCTAGCGATGTGGAAAGCCTCCACCTCGGCAGCGGGTGCGGGGCCCCACACTTCGTTCCCCGAGTGTACAGACACTGGAATAACGCCTTTTGCTGCAGTCAGCAGACGTCCAGGCAGCTGTCGAAAGTAAAACATGGATTTGTTGTTGCTTGCGTTTGCGCTTGTGCTGCTGCTGCTGCTGCTCTCGCCCCCTCCAGCATCCATCTGCAAGATCAGCGATCCTCCCCGACCCCACCAAGCATCGTAGACACCAACACTGCCGCCTGCGCCGCCAGCATTGTTGCTGCCAGACGTATTGCCAGAGGTTCCGTTGTTGCTGCCGCGATGCGAGGCAGCGAAAACGCAGATCCATGCTGCTGCTGCTGCTGCTGTGTGCTGTACGTACACTGCAATGCGGCGGCTGTATGAAGGAGGAGGTGCCCCTCCATTCTCATTATTGCAGAGGCTTTCCGACTTGACGAGGATGGCGAGACGACCATCGGGGAGAAAACAACAAGAGAGATCTCCGGAGTGGCCACCTCTGCGCCATGCAGCGGAACCAAAAGCAGCACTGTCTGGGAAGCTGCTCGACTGCTGCAGCGCTGGGGAGAGCGACGCTTGGGGGTTTAAGCTGAGAAGATCCAGAAGATCCTTCTGAATTTCTTGCCCTCCTTCGCCGTTGTCACAGTCGCGGCTGCTGCTGCTGTCTCCCATACATCCAGAACAGGCGGGCAGGAGCAGGGGAAGAGCGTGCAGCGAGAAAACGTGCGCAGCGAGAGAGCTGCTGCTCTGCAGCACTAGGGTGTCTGCAAGCAGAGAGACGGCATGGATGGATTCGCCTTCTTCACAGATCTTCGCAACGGCGAGAAGAGAGAGCTCTGCTGCGGCATTTTCCGTTTTAGCGCTTGACGCCTCCCCGACAACAGCAGCTCCTATCCCTGCAAGACGCATGCAATAGAGGAACGAAGCATCTGCTGCTGCTGCTGCTGCTGTGGCGACAGCGGCGCAAGCGTTCGATGGTCGCGTTCTCTCGGGCAGAAGCTCAGCCTGGAAGGAGAAAGATTCTTCGATTGCTTGCGGCGAGGAGCGAGATTTCTGATCTTGGTGCAAGCGCAGCGGCGATGCAATGATCAAACGCTCTGGTGTCAGGACGGCTGCAGCCGTCTGCTGCTGCAGCAACAACTGATGATTCCTTAGCATGCAGCTGCTATGGTCGAAGCACGCAGTATCATGTGCAGCAGCAGCAGCAGCAATTGCTGCTGCTGCTGAAGTTTTGCAGTTGCTTTTCCATGCCCCTAGGAGAGAGACACGCAAGCCGAATCTCACAGAATTGTCTTCGCGTTGGTACTGCTGTTGTTGCTGTTGCTGCTGTTGCTGTTGCTGCTGTTGCTGCTGTTGCTGCTGCTGCTGCTGCTGCTGTTGCTGTTGCTGCTGCTGCTGCTGCTGCGTACCGCACTGTACGTCCACAGCAAATACCAACAACCACAGCGTCCTCTCCTGCTGTCGGTGCTTCTGCTGCGGCAGCTGCGAGGAAGCAGCAGGAGCCGTAGGGATAGCAGCAATTATTAGCAGCAGTACAGACGTTGTGGAGTGCGGAAAAAAGCTGAGCGGCACTGGAAGATCTATGATCTGAGCTGCGAGGAGAAGCGCTTGCTGGTGCTGTTGGCGTTGCTGTTGGTGTTGCTGCTGTTGTTGATGATGGTGGAGATTTGGCTGCTCAGGAGGAGCAAAGAGCCTTTCCACTGCTGCCATGTTAAGGTCTGCGAAGGAGGAGCTCAGACTGTCATGCTGAGGAGAATGCGGCTTGTGCAACACGAGATGCAGCTGCTGCACACCTAGAGCAGACGCAGAAGGGTCGATCTGCAGCAGCAGGAGACGACGCGCATCGGCTGCTGCACACAGCAGCAGCGGCAAGCGTCCTATAGGAGCGATCAGCGCGGCGTCTTCTTCTTTCTGCCGTCGAAGCTGCTGCTGCTGCTGCTGCAACAGCGCTAGGAACGACGCAGGGAAGAAAGAAGCCCATGCTACCGGAGGAAGACTGCTGCTGCTGCTGTCGCTGTCGCTGTTGCTGCTGCTGCTGCTGCCCCACTGTCTGGACAGCAGCAGCCGCTGCTGCTGCTGCTGCAGCGGAGCCGACTGCAGCGCCAGCAGAGGAGGCATGCTGGAAAGCATTCCCTCGTTTGACCATAGCAGCAGCACGCCTGTCTCTGCCGTCCACGCTATGCTGAGAGCATGCTGCGGCAAAGAAGCCAAACCTCGAAGCTGCAATCCTCCTGCCTGCATTCCCCACGCACTCGCTGCTGCTGTTTGCATCTGCGTCTCTGCGACGAGCTGATCTTCTGGAGTGCTGCTGCCTGCAGCTTCGGAGGCGTTGCTGTGTGGATTGCTGCAGCTGCTGGGAATCTCCGTGTCGCCCTCTAAAGGGTCCAATGCCTCGACAGCCACCTGAGAGCGCTGTAGCTGCTGCTCCTGCTGCTCGTTCTCGCTGCAGGCTTGCCGCAAGGCTGGCAGCTCAAGCAGCAGCGAGTAGCTCGCCAGACAGCGAATGCCGTAGTGCACCGCCAGTGCCGTGCTGCTGCTGCTGCTGCAGTCTTTTGGAAGGAGCCGCAGCAGAACGGGAGAAAGCAGCAGCAGCAACTCGTCCCCCTTCGCCGTCAGCACGCGCATGCGGCACGGAGGAATGAGGCACGCAAGAAAGCCGCTGAGAGCACCCCACAGCAGCTGCGGTGTCGCCACAGACGACGCTTTCTCTAGAGCAGGAGAATCATCAGAGGGAAGTGGCGGCAGAGGGGGCAGCAGGGGAGGAGTAATAGCTGTGCCTCCTGCGGCTAAAGCAACTCCTGAGTATACAGGGGGTCCAATGATACACCCTGGTGCACTCAGCAGTCCATCGAGATCAGAGGGGGGAGCGACGGAGATGCGCATCATCTCGCCTGAAAAAACAGCAATATACGCCTCAAGGCGGCAGCGGTGAGTGGCAACGACACGAGACAAGCGACGTCAGCAGCAAGCGTCGCGTGCAGCTTTGAATGCAACACGCGCCAGAGACGCAACAGACAGCAGTCTTCAAAGCAAAACTCTCTTCCCTCTCAAGCATGCACACTTGCACATACTCCACAAATAGACACAAGGCAAGAGAGATTGATAGAGATTGACACGGATATTTGTATGCATATATACATCTAGATATAGTTGCATAGATATAGATATACATATATCTAGATATAGTTGCATAGATATAGATATACATATATCTAGATCTAGATACACAGATATATAGAAAGCCGTATCTATGGAGAGAGACAGAGAAAGATAGAGAGAGATAAAAAAACGCAGCCAAGCAGCAGCAGCGAGAGCAGCAGCAGTTTTTGAGTGTAAGGGCCCTCAAGAAGAAGAATTGGCAGTAGCAGTAGCAGCAGCAGTCGTAGTAGCTAAAGGAGCAGCATTATAACAAGCGCCTCTTCCCCCCAAAAAAACATCGCAATATCCCTCTTTGCAGGCTTCAACCCCTGCAGGGAGGAAGGCAGGGAGGCAGGAAGAGGGGAAGAAAGAGAAGCAACTGACTCCAGAGGTTCGTCTCCGCAAGCGTGACTTCAGTAATTTCTTCGGCTTGAAACGGCGCGAGGGGTATCTCATGCGCAGCTGCTACTTGCTGCAGGAGGGGCAGTCCCCTTGAGCCTCTCGCCAGTGCCTCTACCATGAAGGCTCCAGCTAAGGCTTTTCTTTTTTCCTGCGGCAAGTGCTGCTGCTGAGAATATGGGAGATAGGGGAACAAAACGTGGAGACGAGGCACTGCAGCGAAGGGGGAGGAGGCTTCTAAGCCGTAACACACCAGAGAGTGCTGCAACTGCCGTTCATCGCTCTCCAGCAAGGCATACTTGTACTGCTGGTGTGGCTCTTGCAGAGGCGGCAATAAGATTCTGCCGCAGAGATGAAGCATCGTTGGCGACTGCAGACACCAGAGGTACGTGTTTGCGCTGCATCCTGCAGCAAGCAGCAGCAAGGGAGACACCGACGTAGGCACCAAAAGTGAGGCTCCCGTAATATACTCGGTATGCTGTGCGCAGCAGATCAATCTTGCGTCTCGCAGCACACGGAGGCTGCTGCTGCAGCAGCCGCTGCGTGTAACGTTGCTGTTGCTGTTGCCGCAACAGCTGCTGCTGCCTTGCAAGGCACTCAGCGAGAAGGAGGAGGTGCTACTGTTGCTGCTGCTGCAGCAGCAGCATGCGCTGTTGTGGCAGCCCTCTGGTAGCAAAATAGGCACAGCTGCGGCAGTAAGCGAAGGTGGACACAAGCGCTGTTGCTGCTGCTGCTGCTGCTGCTGCTGTGCTGCAGTGGTGGTGCTACTGTCGGAGGGGTATGCCGAGTTTCGCAAGCTTCCCGCAGAACCGACGCATGCAGGCAGAAGAGAGAAGCCGTTGCTGCTTCTGCCGCTGCTGCTGCGGCTGTTGCTGCAAAGGCTAAGAGGACGAGAGAGCTGCTGGGGGTTGCTGCTGTTGTTGCTGCTGTTGTTGCTGCTGTTGTATGCCCACCAGTCCGCCTTTCCAGGTGCAGCACTCGCAGCAGCCGCATCCGCAGGCAGCAGGGGCACACATCGCATCTCTCCGAGCATCCTTCGTGAGCCAACTATTGCATTTAAAAAGCCTTGACTGCTGTCTTGAAGACAGCCGCAACAGCAGGGGGCAAGAAGGGAGTGGTCTAAAGCCTTGTTGCTGGTGCCGAAGCAAGTCGCAGAAGCGTGGAGAGAAGAAGAAGCAGAAGAAGAAGCAGAAGAAGAAGAAGGCGCCAGAGCAGCAGCAGCAGCAAGCGCCTGAGTGACGCTTGTCTTTTGTGCAGACAGCACAGAGAGCTGCCACGGAACGTAGAGCAAGAAAACACAGCGTCTCAGAGCAGCGTGACGCTTGCTGTGGCTGCCACTGCACTGGATGTCTGCACAGTCGTGAATCGCAGCAGCATACACGAAGGGAACGCCTGAGGCTGATCCTGTTGACAGTTCAGCTGAAGCTCCTAGTGAAGAAGAGGGTGTTGCACCTCCTCCTACGTCTCCGCTTCCTGCAGCTGATCGACCTTGCCAGTAGTCTATCAGCACTGCGGATGTCGTAGGCTGCAGAATCGCAGCTCCTGATGCGACTGTAGATCCAGCTGCTGTATCTGCTGCCGAGTCTGCACCCGCCGATGCCAAAGTCAGTACTTCATGCACCTGGTGTACGGACTGCTGCTGCTGCTGCTGCTGCTTGGCTGCCGGCAGCCAGTTGCCGCAGCCTCCCTTCTGGAGAGGTGCTTGCACGGCAGCACTTTCCGCCGCTGACTCTTCTTCCTGAGAAGCATCCTGGTTGCAGCAGAAGGCTGGAGTGGTCAGAAGCGCAGAAACGGCGACGATCCGAACAAGCGGAGGCAGAGCACTAGCAGCAGCAGCAGCAAGAGCAGCAGCGCTGCCTCCGTTGACACCAATGCGCGGCTGGGGAGCATGCAGGAGCCTCCCTGTACGAACAGGCAGCGGCACCAATGCGCCCACAAGACTCGACACAGGGAGCGCGGCAAGCGGCTTGCTGCTTTCCGATTCTGCAGCTGTCTGTACTTCTGTGGATGCTGGGGAGTCTTCTGCTACCCCTGTTGTGACACCTGAGCTCGAAGAAGGCTGCTGAATTTCCCCTCTGCCAAAGCGACAACCATTGTTGTCTGCAAGAGAAGACGCAGACACTGGTGGCTTCCAGCCTCCCTGCGCCACAGCAGGGAAGTGCTCTGAGAAACGCATCGCTGCTGATTGCACAGACTGCTGCTGTCACTGCCGCTGTTTTGCTGATTCAAGAGGCAAGGGGTGGGAAGGCTTGGGAGGCGTTGCCGTGTTTTATTCGCATGCGCTCGGATATGTGCCTCGTTTGTACGTCAGGGCTAGCAGACAACGTAGGATAAGGCGCAGGAAGAAGAAAAGCAGCAGCTGCAGATGCAGCTGCTGCAGATGCAGCTGCTGCAGATGCAGCTGCTGCAGATGCAGCTGCTGCAGATGCAGCTGCAGCAGCAGCAGATGCTGCTGCTGCTGCTTTAGGGTGTCTACGTTGCGCAGCAGATCTGGAAGGGAGGGGGTACAGCAGGGAATGGGGGGAGATGCTGCCCCATGTGAGGAGACACCTGTTGCTGCTGTCGCTGCAGCAGGAGTAGTGTTGTGCTGTCGCTGCTGTTGCTGCTGTCGCTGCAGCAGGAGTAGTGTTGTGCTGTTGCTGCTGCTTCGGGATGTCAAGCGCGGCAGCACCAGCAACAGCAGCTGCTGCAGCGGATCACCCAGTGCTGCTCGCTTCTCTGGAGGAGCTGCGGGGGCAGAGGGCTGTGTGCGAGGAGGCAGAGCCAGAGGCTTTGCGGCTGCTGAGTCTCATTTCCCGCTCAGCAGTTGGGCGTGTGACACCTGGTGTGTGCTGCAGCGGAGTTCGGAGCAGCTGCAGCTGGCGTGCGTGGGGATTATTCGGCCGTCACTGCTGCTGCTGATGCTGCACGCGAGAGAGGGAGAGAAAGCGAGAGAGAGAGAGCGAGAAAGCGGTGCAGTGTGCCGCGATGGTACATACAGCTGCCACTGCGGTTGCTGCTGCAGCAGGACTCATCCCATGCGCAGATGCAGAAAGAAAAAGTATTACCAGCAGCAGGAGGAGTTTTGACAGGGGGGATGTGCGGGGGAAATGCTTCTTGGTGGCTCGCGGCGTTGTCGGCAGCGGCCTTTTCGCCGTACGGCATATGGGGCTGTTAGTGTTGCGGTTACTTCGCCACTGAGGTGTGGAGGGACAAAAAAATGCTGGAAAAGCTCTAATAATGCCTTTTTGGCGAAGAACAATGTCGCTGCTGCTCTGTCAGACACACCTCAAACGCATGCCGCGATGTTCGCCGTAGGGCAGGAGGCAGAGGGTGTAGTCGGCAAACGTCGCAAGGGTGCCTCCCCCTGAGATGCCTCCGCTAAAGTGTATACTCCAATCAAAAATGACTTAAAGGAGTGCTACGGGAAACAGTTGTCTTAGGAATACCGCTTGGGCTCCATCGTAGAGGGGTCTGAGCAAGAGGCGTTTCTAGGCGAAGCTCAGATCTGCCCCCCTCAGCCTTGGCACTTCGTCGAGCCTTATAAAAATCACACGCTGCATGCACCTCCGAGGCCTCTACTTCTCCTTGAGGCCGTTTGGAGACCACCCCTATGCAACTCGACTGCCCTGCAAGAGACGCGCGCTGTCACTACAGTGCCCTGCTGCGCATGCTTGTTCAGTGTGTGTGTGTGTGTGAAAAAGGCGTCATTCTGCTGCCTCCTTCTTAAGACCTTCTGTGGTGGTGCAACCCCTCTCTTAGGAGCGGCCTGGCCTCGATAATTCAACGACATGCATCCTAAAGTAGGCGAGGTGGCCATGTGGTGGGCTGTATATTGGCGCATCATCTACTCTTGCAGCATAGCGCCTCGCCATTAGATCGATAGAACAAGACGCAAAGCGTTGCTGCGCGCGTGCATTCATGTACATATATATGCAGTGTGTGCAACAACTGCTTCGGAGTATTCAGCGCGTGTAGAGGGTACAGCAACTTCGCGCAAACGATATGTCTCCCCCTCCCTCTGCGGATTATGCCAAACCTTTCAGTGGGGCAGGCAGGGGGGCCTCCACGCCTCGTGTACGTACATCCCTCGTAGCATATCGGAAAAAAGGGAGAGCTAAGCAGCAGAAGGGAGAGAGAGGATGGGGTACTAGGACCGACCAGGGGGTAGGAAAGCCAGCACACCCCAGTCTGCATGCAGAAAAAAAGCCCATCCGGCAGCAAACAACCACCCCAAATGCATGTAGAGAAGATACCGACAGAGGAGACCTCCCCTCAAAGCATATATGCCTATTTAATGGGGAACTACCCACATATATATATCCAATATACGCATATATACATATTTAATAAGGAGATACCTATATATATATATATATATATATCCAATATACGCATATATACATTTATATATTTAACAGGGGAATACCTATATATATATATATCCAATATACACATATATATATGCTTGGATATAAATACATCCCTCCAGAGTATCTGTGTCTGTGCTCCACCACTTCTCTGATGCAGCGCTGTACGGTAGGAGTTGACACATGAGGTTTCTGTAGTTATGTCGTCTTGCTGCGCTCGCTGAATGTAGAGGCTCCCGCACGATGCGTGGAAGCAAGCTTCTGTTCTGGCTTTTCTTCTGGTTACAGCATGCAGCGTAGTCGTACACGCTTTGCCAAGGCTATTCGCCACCTGGCAGCAGAGAGGCGAGCGGCTGTAGCATATTTCTGCTATCAGCGATGGTTTTTAGAAGTCTGAGCAAGCGTTGAGCAGCTTAGCCGCATAGTTGCACTAAGGCAGGCTTTTTAGTGCACTCCAGACTTGTGAGGCATTGGCAGATACAGGGGGGAGGGGCCTCAGAGAGGCGTTTGTTGGTAGGCCTAAAGGCTGCATCTTTCCGCCCATAAAGACATGAGATGCCGATTTTCCCCCGTCCCCTCCCCCACCAAGGAGGTGCTCTGTCAGGAAAAAGCCTTTCCGACGGCGTTAGTAGACGCTTTCGGTCGGTGTGGCTTCCTGCAACAGACTCAGGCAGCAACGGCAGCAGGAGGAGCGCAGCAGCCTCCTGGGAAGATGCATGCAGCAGGCGGTGCGCTCCCTGCAGGCTAGCTAGCTAGCTAGCTAGTTCGCTAGCTCGCTCGGACAGCCAGCAGTGCCAACAGCCCCACCTAGAGCTCGCCGTAGCGGCAGCAAAATCAGCAGAGCTGCCCGCTGTCAAGACAAGGCCACACAAGTTCAGTGGCAGCGAGCAGCAGCCAGAGAAGGCCGGAGAAAAAAAGAGAAGGAGAGGAGGGAGCACGTGAGGTGCAAGCCGGCACGAGAGAAGCACAGTGCGACTGCGCCGGAGTGTAGGTGTCGAGATCTTCCCCTCCTCTCTCCTTTCCGCATGCATCAACTCGAACAAGCTAAAACACATATCGCTCCCTCAAAGCGGCAGCAGCAGAAAGGAGCCTGCCTGTATGGCAGGGGGCACTTAATAATAAACCCAAAAGGTGGAGTACTTTCTCTCTCTCTCTCTCTATATATATATATATATAGATAGATATATATCAATAATTTGTCACATCATGAGAGATGAGACAGCTTGAGAAAACGTTCTAAGGGCGGGGAACCATACACCAGACTCCGTCTACGAAAGTGCCCCCTGCCTACGCGTGAGGGTGGTGGTGGAGGCCAGGGGGGGGGGGTTGCGCCACTCCCACCACTGTCTCTTCTATGAGGATTTTCTCTTTGACAAGAAGGCATCCAGCACACACGGGTAGCCCGTTGGTGTTGCTGCTGCTGCTGTTTTTGTTCGGGGTGGTAGTAGTCGGGGAGGGGGGGGGGAAAAGGGTTGTTATGGGGAGGGTAGGGCTTAGGGGTGTGGCCGTATGTACACTGCGGCTGCTGCTGGACTAGCCGTGAAGAAGAGCTGCTCTGTCTGCTCTGCTGAGGCAGTGCCTCTCTAGAAACAAATACTTCCTTCGGATATTCCGAGGTGGTATACCAACAAGGCTTCGCCTCTTGCTGATGGCAAAGCAAGGTTGGTGGCAAAATCGAATAATACACCCTAAGGCCGTGCTGTTGTCTGGCAGACAACGGCTGCGGCAGATCAGAGAGTCGTCCTAGAGAGCACCTCTCCTCCTGCTCCTGCTGCTGCTCTTGCTGCTCTTGCTGCTGCTCCCGCTCTTGCTCTTGCTGCTCCTGCTGGAGGTACTGTGATTGAACCACCAAAGCAGCCGCGGCTGCTGGTGCGCATGCTGCTGGTATTGCCGTGAAATCCGCTGCTCCTGCGCGTTCCACTGCTGAACGTTTGCTGGTGGCTCTACAGCAGCAAGTCGCAAAAGATGAGGAGGCTGCAGCGGCGGAGCAGGGGGGATAGAGAAGCGGAGGAGGCAGTATTCAATAGCTTCGCCGGGTAGTGCTGTTGCTTAGTGTTGTTGTTATTGCAGCTGTTGCTGAAGCTGCTGTCGCTGCTGCAGTTGCTGCTGCAACATCATCACGAGGAGTACTTGGTGCTGTTGCAGCAGCAGTTGCTGAAGCTGATGTCGCTGCTGCAGTTGCTGCTGCAACATCATCGCGAGGAGTACTTGGTGCTGTGGCTGTTGCAGAAGCTCCCAAAGCAGAAGCGCGGTGTCTCCTCTGGTGTCTTTGCCTCTGTTGTCAAGCCTCAAGAGACTGAGCATAATAGGCACCCAGACATGCGTGGGGTATGAGTGCTTCAATGCCATTTGAGGCCGCTTCTTTTGCTACTAGCGTTGCAGACTCACCGGATGCTGGCTCTTCATCGGATGCTGCCTCTTCATCGGATGGCGCCTCTTTATGGGGTACCTCCTCCACAGATAGCCAGCGATTATCGCAAGAGATCGAGCTGCGAACCGCTGCTGCATGGCAGCTTGTCTTCCTCTTCTTCCGTCTCAACCTGGCTTCGCTGCACCTGGTCTGTCTGTCGCTGCTGCTCTGTTTCAGAGGATTTTACGCCTTCCAATGCGCAAACAGCAAACAGTGGCACTTCTCGAGACTTAAGAAGCTTGCCAACAAGCCGCTGTTGTGGCATGCAATGCCCTTCCGCAGCTTCTGATTTCTGCAGCTGCCTTTCTGCTGCCGTCTGCTCCGTATTATACGAAGCCTCAGAAGACGCTTCCGCGTCTACGATTTCCCTCGCTGACGCTGTTGCAGCAGTTGCCGCAGCTGCAGCAGCACGGGATCTTCTCCTGCAACTCCGCTTTTGCAGCTTGCTCAAAGCAGCAACGCACAAGACGCTGGATCGCAAAGCAGCGCGAACCTGCTCTTTCCGATCGGCAGCGGCAGCAGCAGCGGCTGCTTCTGCCGCTGCTCCTGCTGCCCATTCTCCCTCTCCTTCCTGCTGCAGCAGCTGCTGCACGTCTAGGAGCTGCGCAGCGGCACAGCTGGACAGAAAGACATCCGTAGAACCCAACCTCCAACCCTTCTTAAGCTGCTCCGCAGACGGTTCTGCCGCGCGATCGATGATGGCTCCACATGCGGCTGAACGAGGATCGGAACCACCAACTGAGGCTGCGCTTTCAGAAGCCTCAGCAGATGCCTTTGCAGCGCTGGCAGCAGCAACAAATGCAGCTACTGCAGCAACAGCCGCAGCACAACTGCTCGGCGACAAGTGGCCATGGCGTTCCAGCAGCTGCGCTGCCGCATGCTCCACTGCCTTCCGGTGTATGGACACCCTAAACCACCGCTGCTGCAGCAGCGCGTGCGGCTGCTGCAATCCAAATCTCCTCTGAATCAACTCCTGCTCCGCTACTGCAGCGGGTGAACACACGGCCAAGGAGCACGTGCAGGCAGGCGCAGGAAGGCATTCGATAAGGGCAGATGACGCAGCAGGGAGAGACGACAAAGGATCTAGCAACCAGCTGCTGGTGCTCTTGCAAGAACTGCCAGAAGCAGCTGCTAGCCGTTTCTGCAGCCACGACAGCCTTGGAGGAGCAAGACGCAGCAGCGCCTCACTTGCCGCTTTGCTGCTGCGAGCCACGGCTGCCGCAGAGCCTTTCACGGTGTATGTACAGCTGCCTCGGGCATGCCACAGCCTTATTGACAGATGCGCCTTTTCGTCAGTGTTGCTGTTGGTGCTACTGCCGCTGTAGCTGCGACAAAGCTTCCGCCTTGCGGCTGGCATCAACTGCTGCTGCAAAATAGGCTGCTGCAGTTGCTGCTGCCGGTGCAACTGCTGAAGAAAATTGCGATCTCGGTGCTCTTCTTTGATGAGAGGATACCTTGCAGCATCGCAAAGAAGCTCAAACACATTCATTTCTTTCTTCCTGCTGCTGGTGGTAGTGGCGCTGCTGCTGCTGCTGCTGCTGCTGCTGAACGTCGTGCTGCTGCTGCTGCTGCTGCTGCTGCTGCTGCTGCTTTCTAAGAGCGCTAAGGTTGATGAGGCGGCATCAGCAGCAGACGCCCCCGAGTCGTTCCGCATCAGCAGCGTCTGCTGCAGCTGTTGAAACTGCAGTTCTTGAAGGTCCTCTTCTTCTTGAAGCAGGTAGTATATATTGTTTTGCTGCATGTGTTGCACCGCCTGCTTCTGTGATAGCTGTTGCAGCTGCTGCTGCAGCGCTGCTATTGCCTTCGGCGTGAAGACTCTCTGCGCAGAGCACTGCTGCAGGAGCTGCAGCAGCAGCTGCTGTCGCACGTGCTGCGGGAGCTCTCCCATCAAGAAATTGCCGCAGAGAAGCGTTAGGCAAGAGGAGAAAAAACACGGCTTGTCAGATTCTGGCAAATTGTCGGGTGCGTCGTTATCCTCTGAGATGTTGTCTGGAAAGAAATCCAAGGCTTCTAACAAGACAACAGCTGCTACGGGGTGCTGCGCTGCAGCAGCAGCAGCACCGTCGCGGACGGGAGTTGCTGCCACGAAAATGTCTGCGGAGGAAGGCATCTGCATGCGAAGGCCAAAATTCAGACACGAAGAGCTAAAAAGCGCTTCGAGATGATGATCTTTCTCTGCTCTGTTTGCTGCTGTCGCATCTCCTGTCTGACTCTCGGCAACAGCTACTGATGTACTTGCTGTTTCCGCATCAGCACACGATTCGCAGCAACAGTGCAGCTCTTTGAGCGCATACTCTGCTGCTGCTGAAGGCAGCTGCAGCACTGCGGCGAGAAGGGTGAGCTGGCGTCCACCGATCTCCGCAATCCACGTGACGAGGTGTCTGTACAGCTGAGCAGTTGCAGCTGCTGCCCGGCGAGCTGCAGCCACAGGAGGGAGATCTGAGTCAATGCGGAGGAAGGGGCAAGACGCAAAGACTTCCTCGAAAGTATTCGCTGCTGAACCTATGGCTTCTAAGCAGCAAAAGAAAAAGAAATCTCGTACAACCTGCGGCAGAAACGGCAGAAAGAGGTGATCGAAAGGGGCGAATCCACAGAAAGCAACACACAACAGGCGACAGGAAGAGCAGGGAGCAGCAGCACTTTTGCACAGCTGCCCGATGTTTTGCGCTCGAGAAGCAACACCCTGTGAGCAGCAGCAGCAGTATAGCAGCAGCACTGAAGGCAGTATAGCAGCAACACTGAAGGCAGTATGGCAGCAACACTGAAGGCAGTATAGCAGCAGCACTGAAGGCAGTATAGCAGCAACACTGCAGGCAGTATAGCAGCAACACTGATGGCAGTATAGCAGCAGCACTGAAGGCAGTATAGCAGCAGCACTGAAGGCAGTATGGCAGCAGCACTGCAGGCAGTATAGCAGCAACACTGAAGGCAGTATAGCAGCAACACTGAAGGCAGTATAGCAGCAACACTGAAGGCTGTATAGCAGCAACACTGAAGGCAGTATGGCAGCAACACTGATGGCAGTATAGCAGCAACACTGAAGGCAGTATAGCAGCAACACTGCAGGCAGTATAGCAGCAGCACTGAAGGCAGTATAGCAGCAGCACTGAAGGCAGTATAGCAGCAACACTGAAGGCAGTATGGCAGCAGCACTGAAGGCAGTATAGCAGCAACACTGAAGGCAGTATGGCAGCAGCACTGCAGGCAGTATAGCAGCAACACTGAAGGCAGTATAGCAGCAACACTGAAGGCAGTATAGCAGCAACACTGAAGGCAGTATAGCAGCAACACTGAAGGCAGTATAGCAGCAACACTGAAGGCTGTATAGCAAGAGGTTGAATTTGTGTGCAAGCAGGGTTGAGGGTATGAAAGTCTTTGGAAAGTCTTCCTAGCAGCAGCAGCAGGAAAGACCACCTTACACAGGCAGGAGGTAAATCTTGACGCTTGTTCCTCGGAGAAGAAGAAGACGCAACAAATGAAATGCATGGGAGAACAGCAGCAGCAAGGAGTCTCCTGCCAATTTGCTGCCTCTGTTTATTGCATACACCGAGCACTGCCAGACAACTGCATATCATATTCCATGTGGGGGTCGCTTGCAAACCGTTGGAAGAATTTTCCAGAATGCCACCAGCGATGTCTGGAGCTTCCAGCTGATGCAAGACTGAAGCAACTGCATATGCTGCTTTCGCTGCAGCAGCGACTTCTACTGGCTTCATGGGGGCACTCTCGAGAGTCTCGGGAGCGTTTGCTGCAGCAGCTGCCGCTTCCGCTGCCTCTACTGCTGCTGCATGCGTGCTAGCTGCCAGCAAGGCGTCCTTCACTACCTCAAGTAAAATAAAAGGTGTCATCTGGTCCAGTGCAGGAGGAGAAGCAGCAGGAGAAGGAGCAGGAGAAGGAGCAGGAGAAGCAGCAGGAGAAGGAGCAAGAGAGGGAGCAAGAGAAGGAGCAGGAGAAGCAGCAGGAGAAGGAGCAGGAGCTGTAACGCCTCCGAGATTGTCGAGAGGAGCAGCGGCGGGTATAGCAGTTGCTCGATCGGCAGCAAGGAAGAGAGCTTGCACATATACGCGGCAAGGAACGATGTCTCTTGCTGAGGTAGGAGCGACTTCTTCTCCTCCTCCTGTTGCTGCCGTTTCTGCTGCTGCTTCTGCTCTTCTTCTTCCTCCTCCTCTTTCTGGTGCTTGTGCATCAGTTGCTGCTTTTGGTGCCGCTGGAGTCGTTTTGTGGAAGACGAACTGCGTTAAAATGCAAGCCTGCGAAAAGCAGCTCCTGCTGCTGCCACTGTTGCTATTCCTCTGTGGACGTAATGCAACGGATGTAAGAGAACGCATCAGCAAAATCCAAGCACTGCAGACTCTATCCCTGAGGCTGTTCAAGTTGCTGTTCGCTGCCGCTACGACTAGAGCTTTCCCTGCTGCACTGGCTGCTTCTCCATTGGCTTTGCAAGCCTCGTCTCCTGTTGCAGCTGCGCCTCCTTCCTGCTGCAGCTTGTGGAAGCAGTATCGGAGTGCAGCAAACGCTACAGATGCCTTCAGACTGCCTGAAGGCTCCATAAGCAGCACGGCGTGTGCAGCGGGCAGAAAAGCTCGTTGCTGTGCAGCAGCAGAGGCAGCAGAAAAAGTCGCAGTAGTGAAGAGACAGCCGGTGGGTGTCTCTCCATCTGTTGCTTCGCACAGCCTCGCATCTGTGATGGCTGGGAGGCTGCCGTTTTGTGCGCCCGGCTGTTGCATGCGTTTTTTCTGCTCTTTCTCTTCATTGGGAGACTGCTGCTGCTGCACCTCTCGCTGCTGCTGCTGCAGGGAAGCACCGACCTGTAGGAAAGCAGCGTCCAGCAAGCTGAATATGTGTGGCATTCGCTGGGTGCCTTGCGCTGCTGCGGCTCCTGCTTCTGAACGCTGTCTGTGAGGGGTAAGGTTGCAGCACTCGTTGTTGCTGTTGCTGCTGCTGCCGCTGGGATACGGGGAAGCAGCAAATGCACGCTCTGCCCAGGCAAACTGCACAGGGGGCCGCTGCAGTGTGCAAAGGGGGATTGTATGTACAGCTCGCGTGGCGCTGTCTCTTGTGGAGCTGCTGCCTGGAGGTAGCGCTGCTCTTGCTGCCCTAAGAGGTGTATCTTGATCGCATGAGGGCGCCTTAACGGCGGAGTCAGTAGTTCAGCGCATGGTTGTCAATGGTCAGGAGTGCAGCAGCAGCAGCACGAGCAGGCACGCGCAGCTGGCCGCTCGGCTGCTATAGCCGTACAAACTCGACGAGGCTCGAAAAAGGGGCATGAGAAGCACTCTTAAAAGGCCCCTCCATGGGATCCCCGACTTGCAGTCATGCGAACAGCACCGCCGACTCGGTGTGGCGCTGCTACGACTTGGGTTGTTTTCGCTGCAGTGACGCTGCAAGAGGAGGAGCACAGCCGGCGCGCTGCAGACAAAGGGCTTTCACCGACAAAAAGGCGACAAAAGGCAGAGAAAAGACTAATTACTGCGCGAGGAGGAGCAGCAGCGGTCTGTTACGCAGCGCTCACACCAGCAGCAGCAGCAGCAAGAGAGGTGGTATAGTCCTGGGAGGAGTACCTGGAGCTGAAAATTTGACACCTGTTGACAGCGTAGATATCTAAGACATAAAAGCTGGTGCAGCAGCTCTTCAGCAGCAAGATATGCACGTTCACTTAGCGAAGATCCTGCGGACCGTTGCCGCGGTGTCTGTACACCTGACGGGAGGGCCCCCCGCCAAGGAGGACATGGAGTAGCACAAAGCTGCCACTACTCCCGAATTTTGTGTAATGCAGCATGAAAACGACAACAACGGCGTCAGGAGCAGCGGGAGCAGCAACAACACAAAGAGACCTCCCGCCAGCAGCACGCCAGCAGCATCTGCTGCAGCATCTGCAGCTGCAGCTGCTGCTGCTTCCACGCAGCCTCCAACCAGCACTAAATATAGCCATGCTCCGCGCTGCGGAGGACTGCTGCAGCTCGCGATCTTAAGCAAGGTGGGGACTGGGCAGCATGAAGACACCCTGCATCATCTCCACCAGCATGCAGCAGCAGCACCAGCCGCAGGAACATAATTATGGCCGCACACGCAGCAGTTGCACCACCAGCAGCGGCACCCTGCAGCGCCTCCTATTCGATCCGACCTGTCCCCAGCCATTAATTATTCTTACAGGCGCAGGTGAGCAGAACGCAAACAGCAGACGCTCATACAGGCCCTACCAGTCTGGTTGGGAGAGAGATCTGTCTTCCCTGAAACTCCCCATGGACGCACACACACACACAGACTCGGCAGCTGGAGGAATAAACTCGAGGAGCCGAATTTGCGCGTTTGGACGCGCTGCCTGTACAGCCGCTGCCGCTGCTGGTGCTCCTGGATTCGCGCTGTGTATCCGCAGGTTTAGGGAGCAAAAGCGGCATCCCTTTGTACCGCAAAAACACTCCCCAAAGACACCCGCAAAGACAGCGTTGCACAAAGGTTCAGAAGCATGCAGGGCCGTACACAAAGTCGAGGCGGCAGAGGCTGGAGGAGCCACAGCAGCACCCCCCTCATCCCCACCAGGAGCAGCAGCAGCAGTCCACGGTTTCATCTTTGGGTGTATGGACAGCTTTCTCTGCCGAGATGGCCACTCTCGCGCACGCCATGGCATCTCCTGCGGACTGGTTGGCTGCTTCTGGTGCTGCTGTCTTGCATTTTCTTCAAAGGGCTGTCTTTTTTGTCGTGCAGGTGCAGGAGGCCTTCCTGCACCTGCAGGCTGCGAAGAAGCCTTCTCTTTGTTTGCTGCTTCTGAGGTTGCTGCTGCACCTTTCAATCATGGCGTCTAAAATTAATGCCGCCCTTCTGCTTCTCCTGTGGCTGCCGCTTTTCCAGGCTTTCTCAGTTCTGGTACGAAGCACACCCCCCTGGGGTGTATGGACAGGCCTTCCCCTCTCTCTCGCATTTCATCATCTCTCTGATGCTCCTTCTGCAGCCGCAGCGGCTGGTGCTGCTGACACAGAATGTGGATAACTTGGAGCGCTATGCGCTGCTGCTGCTGCTTTCCTTGACTGCGGCCCCACAATCGGAGCTTCGCGTTGTCGTCTCTCCGCAGCAGCAGCAGCAGAAAGAACTCTCGGAGGATGCACGAAAGGCTGTCTGTCTCGACGGTTGTACAGATCTGCTAAGCACCGATATGCAGGCACCATTGACCGCAACTGCTGCAGAGGGCGCCGTTGGGGAGCTCCCGTCATTCCCACTAAACTCCTCGTTCTTTGCGTTGCCTTCCTCTCTCCCGTTGTATGAGCTTCACGGCAACGCCTTCTTCTTCAGGTGTATGGGGACGTCGCAACAGAAAGAGCAGCAGCAGGAAGAGCAACAGCAGTCCGAGGCTGCTGCTGCTGCTGTCGCATGCCGTTTTGCATGCGACGCTGCACTCCATCATTCGCAGGTTCTGTGGATTTCTTCGGCAGAAGGCGTAGGGGCAGCGTCTCCGTTCGCGCATGCAGCACAGCATGCGACAGCGGAAATCGCAGCATCACGAGGAGCCGTAGCGGCACGGTTGCATGTACGGCCTGTATGTCCAGCCTGCGGCAGCGATTGTCTGCCGCTGTGTCTGTTGTTTGATGAACGCCTCTTCTCTCCGCACAAGGCTTTCGCGCCTGAGGCTTTCACGAGGGTGCTGCTGCTTGCTGCCGTTGGTGCTGTCGTCTCTGGTCACTGCGGTGCTGCTGCTGCTGCTGCTGCCGCTGCTGCTGCTGCTGCCACTGAACTCTTCGATCCAAACCGTCTCCTGCTGCAGCACGTAGATGCAGAGCATGGGGGAGTTAACGCCTGCGTGGCTTCTGAGGAGCACCTGCTGCACGGCGTGCTGCGGCAGTCCAGTGCTGCTGCTGCTGCTGAGGCGCTGCCCTTCCGAGATGTGCCTGTGCCTGCCCCCCCAATAAGGCAAGAGGGGACGCTGCGTATCGCGGCAATTAGCTCGTCATGCTCTGTTCCCGCCAGCACTGCCGACGGCTGTCGAGCCGCTGTCGCGCTGCCGCTCACGTGCAGCGGAGGCTGCAGATGTGTCTGCTCTGCATGCCGGTCTGTGCGTCGCTGGGTGCCTCCCTACCGCCACGCAGCAGACACCAGAGAGTCTGTTGACGCTAGTGCTTCACATGCGACACGAGAAGCCTTCTCGACGAGTAGGGGGGAGGCTGCAGCCGGCAAGCCTGTCAAGAGCGAGGCACATAGAAGCAAAAGTTGCCCCCACAGTTGCAACGAAAGCTCCGCCACGAGCGCGCGATGGGCTCCTGGTGCTCCTCCGGCCGCTCTGCTCTTAGGCACGTCGCTCACAACCAGCAGCAGCGACTGGTTGCTTTTGTTGTTGCAACATTTCAGGGGGGAGGCGCTGGCGGTAAATAATGGAGAGGGTCCTCTTGACCTCTGTTTTGATTTCACCGCAGCGCAGCAGGAAACTTTGACTGAGGCCAGCAAAGCCATCGTAACGGCTGCCCTGCTTGTGCAGCAGGAGCAAAGTGAGGAGCAGAGCGGGGAAAAAGAGCAGCAGCAACGGCATTTGCATCGGCTAAAGCCGGAGCTCCTTGAGGCGACCAGTCAGGCAAGCGCCTGCCGCGAAGACACCTGGGGGGGCCGTCGTGGGAGCTTGCATGGCAGCGCTACATCACCAAGATCAGCAGCTGCAGCGAAGTTGCGCGAGGCACTCTCTTCCTTAGGACCTCAATTCGAGTATGGCGGAGCAGCTGCACCAGGGCAAGTTGCAGTTACATGCCGCAGCAGGCGAGTGGTGCGCATCCGAGAGGATCTAGAGGCCTTTCTGAGAAGGCTGTGCCCCTTAGACCTCTTGAGCTGGCTAGAGCGACACTACGATAGATTAAAGGAGGCTCACAGAAAAGCCGTCGCTGCAGCAGCACGCGGTTTGAAGGCAGCACAAGCAGCAGCAACAGCGAGGGGCCTAAAGTGACGTCTCAAGGCTGCGCGTTGGCTGTATTCCGCTGTCGCGCAGCCGGTGTCAGCCAGTGCCCCTAAACAGCCCTCTAAATTTGGGCACTACAATGCGCGTCTGGTAGAATGTGCAGTCTTGCTAACTAAAGGACTCGTCTCTTTCTGCTAACAGATGCTCAGTGTTGTGCCGCTTTTCCCCAGAAGTATACGCGGCCGCACATGAGCAGCAGCAACAGGTGTTTCCCTAGCAGCAGTGCTGCTCCTCAAAGATAGGCACTCATCGAGAAGGCCCCTAGTCATGCAGTTGCTTCTGCCAAGCAGTCGCTAGCCGCTTCCGTGGAGTGCCAATCAAGCAGCGAAGGCTGCTGTGATCGTTGTTGTTCCCGATTGACTAGTACAAGGAGAGTTTGGTAACGACTGTGAGTCTGATCTGCTGGTCTAGAGACGCAGATATAGCGAGACCAATCTTCTGGGGGTGCCAGTCCCACGCCACTACTGGCTGGGTGCTGACCTCTGCGTCATTCAGAATCTGCTGAGAGCCAACAACCCCTCGCATCAGTCCTGTCTGAGGATCGGCAATGCTCCGTTGATCTGGGTACGAATATAGGAGAATAGAAACCTGGGAAGCCAGCAGCAGCAACAACGAAACAAGCAGCTTCGTCTAGTGTCGTTGAGGGAAAACAGTGGAAGCCCATGAGGTATAAATCGATGCTTAGAAGCACGTGGGTAGTGGTGGAAGTGCTTCGCAGAAAGGCACCGATGGCCTCGTAGAGAGGCAGCAGCCACAAATAAAAGCCGTCGAGCGAACACAATTGGAAAAATTGCCACCCCATTGCAGAGGACCACAGCAAAACTGCAGGCTCACAGTTCCGCCCCCCGTGCAAGTCGCCGCGATCTCTCGATTCTGTGGTAGCGGGTAAACACCCCAGACGGTTCCTGCGCAAACGGAGATTGACGAACACAGCAAAACGCAACAAGAGGCACACGGGTGTCTTCTGACCTTCGTTAAGCCTTTGCACTCATTTTTTCCAGCACCATCATCCCCAAAACACCCCTGAATTGCGTTTGGGCTGGTGCGCATGTCTTTCTGAAGCCAACGACCCCTAGCAAGGTGCTGAGTAGGCATGCCTTCCGACAGAGTCTGCACGCTGGCAGTCCATTCACACCAACCCTTAGGACTAATCCCAAACCTCTGTGGCGTGCAGCTAGGGCATGTCTGCGTGTCGGCAACAAAAACTTATTCGTTAGCGCTGCTGTACAGGTGCGCTTCCCATGCCTTTTAACGTTGCCACTACGATCGCTCCGAATTATGTGTTTGGCGCGCATCTTGGCACCAGTGGGCATGAGTCACCCGAAGACAGTTTCTGTTCCTGAAAGGCGAATCCTTCCTCAGGGTGCTGAGTTCTGAGATCTGCAGTAAAAAGGCGACCCTCAAGAGCTGCGACAAGCAGTTTATTCAGCTTTATATCCCGCCTGTCCATTGCCAGTCCGCAGACACCGTAATCCAGATTTCGCTCCGAGATCAGCTTCATCGCCCTCACGTCAAACAGCTTGACGTCACCATTGTCATATCCACATCCTATGACCCCCTCAGGACCCCCTGTACACCCTCCCCAGCAAACTGCCCAGCACTCTGCTGCTTCTTCGCCTTCCACTGACTCAAGAGAGACCACCTGAAGGGCATCAAGATAAGCGGCCGATGAGCCGGGCATGTGCTGGTTGCTTGATCGTGATTTTCTGATCTCTCTCTCTCTCGTGCCATCTCCCCTCTCATTTCCTTCCACCTGCCCGTGTGTTTGAAGTGCGACGACATTCTAGGCTTCTAGCAGCGTGTGCTTTTCAGACAGGGCGTCAATGTGCCTCTTTGTAGGCTTTCCCTTCCCGCCTCTGTCTAACCCCGTTCACTGCTCTGTATCCCCATGTGGCCTCTGGCATGTGTCTGACATCGCATGCATGTCGCATGCGAGCGCTCTTACGGGCTGCTTCATGCGCAAATCCCAGACCTTCACGGTTCCCTCTCTTCCTCCCGTAACGGCCAGAGGGCTACTTGGATGGGCAGCGACTGCATTGACGACGGAATCATGCAGCTTTTGCCGCCAGATCGCGCGATTGACAGACTCACAGTCCCAAGCGTGAAGACTTCCGTCGAAATGCCCTTAGAAGACACCCGTAAGGGGGACACATAGAAAGCGACGCGCGAAATAGTAGCAACGACCACTGCGCATGGAACTGCGGGCAAGACCCCACAATTTGCTGTCGCACTGGCTGGCAGTGTACTGACTCAGGGAAGGCGCGGTGCTGGGAAGAGTGGTGGGGAGGCAGCTGCAGCTGCCGCTGAGGATCATTGTGAGGCAACTGCTGCCGCGGCAAGAAATCACCCTGCCGGTATATGAGTGGCACTGGATGGGCTTCAGCGGAGTAGGAGAGGCAGTGGCAGAAGGCTAAGGTTGAGCAGCAAGAAAGCCAAGCCATCCACTAGCTTTTTGTGTGTAGAGCGGTTGTTTAAACACATGCAGACGTTGAGCCTCAGTAGTGCGTGGTGAAGCATCTTTCCGGTCGACTAATGTGCTAGAGGAGCTGCTAATGCAACTTCTGACTTTGCTAGCATGTTGCGCCGCCAAATGCAAAGCGCCTCGTGTAGCCTCTCCCTGCCACACCCCTTACCAGAAAGCACAAAGTTTCCTCCTGCTGGGCTATGAGCCACAGCCATGCACTTAATGCCCGTCTCCGTCGACTTGTTCTCCTGTTTCTTGAGCTGCCCCTCGTTGAGTCTGTATGCCTCGAGCTCTCCTGTTCGCTTGGGGGCCTCTCCTCCAGCAAAGCAGCAGATACTTTGAGGTATCCAGCATGCCGCATGCGGCGTGTATGTAACCGAGGCAGAGGAGTGATTTATTATCTGAGGCGCGTCTTTTGTATCCATTGGGAAGCAAAAAAGGCCTTTCTTGGTGCCCTTTGGCTCTTGTGAAGTCACTTCGCCTCTCTCTTGTACCCTGTCTGCCCTCCTCTGCCTTCTCTGCCTTCCCTGGTTCAGCCTCAAGGCGGTGTGTACTTTTAGCCTGTTTGTCTCGCTCCGTGCTTCGTTGGAATGTCAAGCCCCCAAGCCCAGTGGCACTCTTCTAGGACGGAAGCTAGTGCGCTACGGGTGGACGCCGCATGCGGTGGAAGCACTATAGACTACGGAAAAGCTTTATTTTGATTTGCAGTGCAGCGGGGGAGGAAGCCAGGGTTGTTTTAAACCAGCCCATGCCTGCGTGGTGGTCTTTATGTGCCTTTGCGCGTCCCCTGTTTTTCGCGACGTGGCTGCATTAAAGGCCGCTGCCCTTCTACTTTGTGCTGCGTGCGTTACTGCTGCTAGGGTTTCTGGTGCAACGATGCTTACACGCAATGTCTGTAGCAGCACTTGTGTAGCGTGGACAAGGAGCCCATTCCTGAGACGCCAGCAACCCCAGAAGCACCACTCGCCTCGGCTGTATCCCACAGGCCACCCAAGCTCAGAAGGTTTTAATTCTCGAATAAACAAGTGGCATAAGCGAAGCTGCGGGTTGGTGAGGATGGCGCGCCGTGGCATGCCCCTACAACACTGTGGTTGCCACAGCAGTCCAGTGGTGGGACGGACCCCCTCCTATGCATGGCGTGGCGTCTCTGAACGTCAAAAGCTCTGTTCCCCGTCGTAATTTTGCACGTATTCTTCGTTGTTTCTGAGAAAGTTAATTTTAAAAGGCATAGACAATTAAGATTGCCATTATGTCGTGGTGTCATGCGTGGCTGCGTAGCTTGTACCAGCAGAGCCTTCGTGAGTGACCCCCGCCGATGGGCTCGAAGGGGCCTCAGTCCGAAACAGCAATGGCAACATGCGCTCCAGCAGCAGCAGCTAAAGGAAATATATTCTGCTTTTGCATGCAGGAAATGTGCTGCTAAGCTAAATTTTGTTTGATTCTGCTCTCGGAGAAGCAGAGAGCAAGCGTTTCTGGCCGCAGTGCAACAACGCCCAGCTGGCTTGTGGAGCCTTCTTCCTACTGTACCTTGTAGATCATCGAAGAATCGATCTCTCATTTGGAGTGGTCATCCCAGTAGTCCAATCCTTTGAAATGGGTTCTATTTCTATCGTTTGCCCCGTGTACTTTGCGGCATGTCTCAGCGTCTTATCGGGAGAGGCCTGGTCAAGAGGATGAATGCCATGCTCTGACTGTCGTGTCGTGTCTCCTCCGCGACCTCATCTTCCTTCTCGCCGAAGCGCCTCCTGAAAAGGCCTTTTGTGGAAGCCATGATGGATGACAACGCGCAGCCGTGTGGGAATGCGCTTTTTTGTTGCTGTTGTAGGTGTGTAAATTCGATACGTTTTTCCTGGCAGCGGCGACGGTATGCGTGGCGCATAGGCTTCTTCTACAAGCTCTGGATCATCACCGTTTGCATTGGTCTGTGCTTGACCTTTGTGCTTATGACTTTGATCAACAACTTGTCCTTCTTCTCGAACTACCGATGCGGCGCGACTGCGGTGTCTCTCCTGGGAGTGAACTTTTCAGCGATGATGGGCATTGTGGGCTCCATCGGACTTACAGCTCTGCTATTGCTGAGACTTCTTGGGCTTTTTGGGCGGTACTCCATTGCAGAGTTCATGTCACTGGGGAAGTGGGTGAGCCGTCTAGGCTGCATCATTAAGTGGGGACCTTGGTTATTTGCCGTCCTAGCTCTGGCTCTCGTCTGCTTCAATTTCGTCAATCTCGCGTGGATCCTGGCGAATCCACACAACTGGTGCAGCAGGCGCTGGACGCCTACAGCCACCGTCGCAGTAGAAAACTGCCGTCTCTGGTATCGCGGTCAGGCATACTGCTTGGACGCTGGTGAGCTGCTGAATAAGCCGCCTCTGCAGTAGCTGCAGCAGCGGGAACTCCTTGGAAGTTTTTGCGAGAAGGAAGGAGATGCTTTTTCCGTGCGCACTGCGTTAGCCTGAAGGCGCCATGTTCAGTAGGGGATGTCTGTTGGGGGGTGCCTCACGGAGGGAGACCTTGTTAGGGCCCTGCGTGAAATGCTGGCCTCGTGCAAGGCTTTCACGTGCGGGAGAGGTCTGCAGTTGAGAGACTTGGAGCCTCGTAAAGCGTGTGCAGCACGTTGGTGCAGACGGCAGGTGTGCATGTGTGCGTGTGTGTGGGCTGTGTTGTGTGCGGTGTTGCTGCTTGGCTGTGCAGCTGAACGCGAAACGATCACAGACGCAACGGTCCTGAAAAGCTGCAACGACGGCGAAATGCTGTTAGACAGCGGATTTTTCTCCTTTATTCCCAAAACGGATGACGATAGCTGCAGTTTCTCGGTGAGCGCGGTGTGCAAAGCCTTCAAAGACGTGTTGGCTGGCACAGCCGTCGATTGGGGGGCTGCTGCGCTCAGCGGCTGCCAGGGACCGGTGTATAACGCTGTTCCCGAAGACTATCAGCACTCAGCCAACGAGCATAGCGACCTTTACAGGTACCTTTTAGTCTACGTTCAGGCCTGGACGTGGTCAACGTGTGCACTCGCCCTGCTCTTCGCGTATATGAAGTTCAGCACGAAATTTGACTCCGTGTTTTACCAGGCCGAAGGGAGCCGCAGCTACTTGCTACTGAACCTTTTAGCGTATCTTACTCCCTTCTCCAGCTGAGCACGCTCGCAGCGCTGCTCGCTGCGGCAGAAGGACCGAAAGCCTTGGCAGTGGAATCGACAGAGGACGCAGCTGCTGCTCTCGAAGACTGCCTGTCTTGCCGAGCAGCGTCGGCGGGTAAGGAGGAGCTGCGCCTTGCTCGCTTGCGTGGCACACGTGTACCGAGAGGTGCAGCCGTGTCTCCCACCACTGCACGCGTTTTACCGTTTGGATTAAAGCGGCCCAAGTCGAATTGGCATACAGGGATCGAGGCAGGGGTTGCAAACATCCTACTGGAAGGAGATGCAGGCGCAACGCATCCTCTTTTTTGCCTGTGGAAGTTGGTATCAGTGTCTCCCTGAAGCAAAGCGGAGCTGTTGGCTGCACCTGCAGCGTCTTCCACAGTAACTACTGCACCACCTCTCCGATTTTTTCCACAAGAAGAGCCCTCTAGCGGCCGCACACACACCTGCCAGCCCCTCCCCCCTTGCCTTTCTGATGCGTATTCTCGGCACTCCACAACTGGTGTTTCTTCCGCGGCAGCTCCACAGAGCATGCAAGGCCAAGTGTGCCTGATCCCCCAATAAGGCAGAGAGGCTCTACAGTGGTGCTGCAGCAGCGAGGGGTGGCATTTTAGCAGCAGAACCCCGGCGGGGGGAGTGAGCAATCATGCCTGTCTACTGCAGGATTGCGCTTCCCCCTTTTCTTCCCATCTTCCTTGAGAAGTTGAGTTTCTGCACACCTCAGAAATGCTGGAGAGCGGGAGGCAGTAATCGGCCTTGGGAGGCCTTTTACCGCACTCGCAGCCTCGTGATTTTTGTCCTACTTACTGTCGACACGTAGAGAGTAAGTAAGAGTGCCGTGACACTGCCTTCCGCATTCTCTGCCCGTATCGCTCGATTTGTTTGGCTACATGGTGTCAGTCTACTGACAGAATGCAGTATCCGCGGCAACGCATCTTCCGCTTAGCGCCTTCGCACAGGGAGTTGTGGGGTCGGCTGGTGCAAGGGAGGGGTTGGACATGATCTACCGCAAGCGTTTTTCTAGGAGGTGAGGGGTGTCAGAACTGCCGGAGAGCTGAGAGGCTGAGAACTCGCGTGGGAAGGGGAAAGGAAGGCTTGAAGGCGGCAAACATTGCTGCGCCTCTTCACGGACGGCATGCAACCCCACTCGCCAACTTTAACATGTCGCTTCGAGCCGTGAGCCGTTTGACTTACATCCATCTACGTAGCTCACTTAAGAAACTGCAAGGCACCTCGCGACTACATTGGAGGGAGCTGATAACAGCCACGCCTCCGACTTTTCTCGAATTACATGCAGAATGAAATATGCACATCTACTGCTGGTGGAACTGCCGCAGCTGCCCAACACCGTAGATGAAGAAGACATGACAATCGATACAGCACCCAGTGCTCCTCTCTCTTAAGGACTGCACTGGAAAAGCATTCCAACTATGAGAGGCGCAGAGAGACACACTACCTGCGGTGTTCTCTAAGGCGTTGGGCGACGCTACAGAGAGGGTCGATCACAACGCATTTCATCGTCGTCTGAGATTTCTTCCGCCTGCCGCTGCTGATCAATACTCCCGCCGAGCAGCATCATGGCAGCTCGGCTCTGCTGCTGCTGTTGCTGCAAGCGCTGCTGAAGCAGCTGCCGCTCTTCCTCCGGCCGCTGCTGCTGCTGTTGCACGGTGAGGAAGCTCATGCTGCTGCTGACTGCGAGGCGTGTTGATCCTCCAGCCATAGTATATGCACCTGAAGACACTGCGCTCACCGCTGAGGTAGATGTGCTGCTGGAAGGCTGATGCTGCAGCTGCTGCTGCTTTTGCTGCTGCTCGACAGTACTTGCCGCTGCTGCATCCTCAGGGGTGTCGGGCGCTTTCTTGCCCTCGTCGAAAGACACTTCCTCCAGCAGCCGTATTTGCAGCGGCTGGAGCTGCTGTTGCTGCATCTGTCGTGATGGTGATGTCAGGGAGACAGCAAACTGGGGAGAAGCGATGTCGACGCAGGGTGCCTCTTGAACCTCGCTCTGATGAGAAGGGTGCTGCTTCTCTTGCTGCTGCAGGAGCTGTTGCCGCAGCTTCGCAGGCCACATATCGCTGCAAGCGAAGGATGCATGCGCTGCTGCTGCAACTGCACAGGCAAGCACCTCGTCTACGGGAGCTTGCAGCATCAACCCTCTTCGCTTTTGCAGCAGCATGCGCAGCGGGCCGTTTTTGCTATCCCCCGCGGCGCAACTGCGCATGCTGCTGCTGTCGCTGCTGTTGCTGCTACTGCTACTGCTGCTGTAGCGACTACTGCAGGAGCTGCTGCCGCTGCCGCTGCTGCTGCTGCTGCTGCTGCTCTCCGAGGTGTATTTACAGCTGCACCACCCCGGAGAGCGTCTTCGAAGGCGGCTATCTGCAGCAAAAACACGTCAATCCGTAGCTTTCAAGAGACACTATTGCCTGCTGCAGGCAATAGCCGATACCAGCTCGCGAAATTTCCATGAACGGCTAGTGGAAGTCAAGTGCTCTACCTTCAGGACTGCTTAGCGCAGACACACGAATGCTTCTGGCTACTGAGTGGGCGAACTCCAGAGGCAGAAGAAGACAGTAGCAGCTCACTTAGGGGTGTAAGCGAAGACTCCACGAGTCTGCTGCCGCTGCTCTCAGGCCTGCAGTGCTGTAGTGCAGCAGGAAGCCTTTGGAGTCTTCTGCTGCCGCTTTTGCTGCTGCTGCTTTTGCTGTCTTCTGACGTTTCGTGAAGAGCGCCTTCTGAGACACGGCCGAGAGTTCTCCGTGGATTGGCAGTCTCTCCTGACGCTGCGCTTCCAGCTTCTGCTGAAGCAGCTGCAGGAGGGTGAGAGGCGACATCAGACAACCACGGAGACGCTGCCGCAGAGGCATGCAGACCTTGCTGTATTGACAGCCTCTTCGAGAGGCATCTGCGGCGATGCAGACTGAGCACAGACTGCAGAAGCTGCAACGCAAAAATATCGCAGACAGGGGCCTCATCAGCAGCCGAAAGAAGGGAGTCATGGTCGGTGCATTTCTGCGGCTAAGCCTCTTTTACTACGATCCGCTGCTGCATCGAGAAGGAGGGGAGTCTGCAGCAAAGAGGGGGAGTTGGCGGCACTTCCCGCAGGGGCAGAAGCTGCATGAAGGGTGTGTGCATGCATGCATGCATGCATGCATGCACAAAAGCAACAACACGGAGTGTATGTACGTACAGCTTGAGCGAGACAGGGTTGCACGAGGCCTGTTTGGTGCTGCTGCTGCTCCTGCTGCAGACAGACGGCGCGCAGCCAGCGACCACTGCTAAGCGTCAGGAAACAGCACCCCGTTCTAATGAAGACGGCAGCTCCAAATTTGGTGACAGAATGGCGCTGCTGCTGCAGTCGCTTGGCGTTGCTGCGCATGTGCTGTATGAGCAGGATGAGCAGAAGTTGCAGGCTGCTTGCAGCTGCTTCGGGGAGGAGGCGCTGCTCTTGCTGGCGCTGCCTCCGACTGGGGTGATGTCGCGTGGCTGTCTTCTGAGCCACGCAGCAGCAGCAGCTGCTGCTGCTGCTCCTGTTGCTGCTGCTGCTGCTCCTGTTGCTAGTTCTGCGACCACATCGAGCGGGAGGAGCAAAACAGGCAGCCGATTTTGAGGTGGAGTGGATTCCGCATGCCAAATTATTCTTGTGGCTGCAGCTCATGCAGCGGAGACAGAGACAGTAGGCCTCTGCTGCAGCAGCTTCCGATGACGTGTGGGGTGGTGCTGCCGATGCTGCAGTTGCAGAAGGGTACTGCGGCTTGTGTCGATTCTCCAGCTGCTTCTTCTGCAAGTGCTGCTGCTGCTGCTGCTCCTCTTGTTGTTGCTGTTGTTGCTGCTGCTGATCGGCGAAGGTTGTCTGCGATCCAAGCAGAAGGGGGAAAAGGCCTTCTGGATCTTGCAGAAGCAACCAGCATGAAGTCTTCAGCAGCTGCACGCGGAGAAGGGGATCCTTTGCTTGGCGATGGCGCAAGAGCAGCAGGAGCAGCAGCTCCTGCAGGTGAGCGGCCGAGAGCCGCTGTCTGTACACTCCGACCAGCAGTTCCCACAGATCGGCTGCGCGGCAGGCAATGGTGGCAGATACGTCGCAGCGAGATTGAAGGCTGCCAGCCGTATACATGAGCAAGCTGTACAGCGGCGTCCGCTGCTGCTGCTGCAGCTGCTGCAGCGCTTCTGGCTGCTGCTGCTGCTGCTGCAGCTGAACGTCGGCGATCTCAGGAACGCAGCAAACGGCAAGACCAAGGCAGGAGATGCCTTCCTGGAGCAGCGCCTCATCGTCGCTGCGCAGCAAGGCTGACAGCAGGAGCTGCACAACTTCGGCGAACGTGCTGCTGCGTGCAAGAAAGGTCTGCGTATCATCGTTCGCTCCAACGGCCAAACCTCCAGCACGCGCCTTCGCCGCTGCTGCCGTCGCGACACTTGGCTCCTGCTGCAGCTCTTCCATCTCCGACTTAGCCCATGCATGCGACGATCCCTTCCACGCGTGGGATTCTTGCTGCTGCAAATAAGCAGCGAGGAGACAGCTCGCGAGTGCCTCGACGCAGGTGCAGACTTCGTACGGCGATGTGACGGGGATAGGACCTTCTGCTGCTGCTGCAGGCAGATCTCTCGGTGCCTGCATTGGCGAAGCGCGCGTCTCTCCGGCTGTAGCAGCTGAAGAAGAAGGAAGCGCAGCAGCTCGTCTTCGCTGCAGAGCAGCATCGCGCTTCCTGTCAGCTGCTGCACACCGCTGCAGCCGCTGAGCTAGCGGAGGTAGCAGTGCGCGAAAGAGCTGGACGCTGCGTTCATCGCAAGGCAGCATGCAGCATGCATTCCGCAAAAAATTTCCAGACAGACAAGCTTCCCCTCTACTCCTCCCGCAGTACAGCACCGTTCGCGGGGGAGGGAGGGATGCGACAGAGGCAGCAAGGCAGGATTGCTGCCGGAAAAGCGGACTGTAGATCGGCAGGCAACGGAGACGCGGAACCGAGAGAGAAAATGAGGCAACGCGTCTGCAGCAGTCTTAAGTGTGAGCAGAGAAAGAGGCTTGCATACTCGTTTCTCTGACACGTCAAGGCAAGAACGCGTATGAGATCTTGAACTCTCTGATTCGTTGGAGGACTGCGAACTGCAACTCTCAACAACACCTGAAGCAGCTCCTGTAAGCCGCCCTCTGCACAAAGACGCTGCAACACTGCAGCAGGCACCACAAGCAACACGCGCTGCGCTAACTGCAGCAGCAACATGATGCAGTTCGGAATCTCCATGAGCAGTCGGAGCAGTCTCGGGAGAGACAACAGGAAGCAGCAGCTGCTGCTCCCCACAAAGGCACCATCCGAACTCGACGAAACGAATGCCTCAAACGCAACGCATCCACACAACCTGCAGCAGAAACGCAGCGAGGCATGCGAACACATTGGAAGCAACTCCCTTAGCGACAGCGCTGCCAAAAACCTTTCCTCCTCATCTCCCCCCTCCCGGGATATATTAATATGTATATAAACACATATTATTACGTATTTATGTATTATTCATCTGTGTATGTATTTACATATAAGCGTTCCGCCTCCCCCTTCGCCCTATACACGCCGGCTGCTGAGCGCGCATGTGTAGACAGGGTACTTGAGATAGAGAGGCTTCCAACAAGAAGCAAGGCTTCATGCCTCCCCTTTCCCTCCCCTCCTCCCTTCCAAGCAAGCGTCATCTCACTTCAGCAGCAGCGGATTTTTCTCCTCGCAGCAAGCCTCTAGAGCAAGTCTGGCGAGCGTTTCGACTTCTTGCGCGTACTTGCGCCGTATGTACACCCGAAGCACGCAAGCCACAAGGAGACAGCGGCAGCGCAGCAGCAACGAGGGAATGACCCCTGGAGGCGATGCGTCAGCTTCCGCTGCTTCTGCTGCTGCCAACACACGTGCGATGCACTGAACTGAGGCTTCAAGTGCAGTTGCAGCCGCTGCCTCTTCGGCGTGAGTACAGCCAACAGCCCATAAGGCAGCCTGCACGAAAGAAAACGACATCAACAGCGACTCACTAGCCACAAGGCAATGGCTTAGCCCTCAAGCGCGAAAGCGAAACGCCTTAAGAGGGGATGCAGCAGCAAAATCAACACGAAAAAACGCTACAACGAGGACGACACGCAGGGCAGCAAGAGCAGCAGCAAAAGCAGCATTTACGAATGCAGCTAGAGCAGCATGTACGGATGCATCAAGAGCAGCAGCATCAGCATTTACGAATGCAGCAAGAGCAGCAGCAAACGCAGCATTTACAAATGCATCAAGAGCAGCAGCAAAAGCAGCATTTACGAATGCAGCCAGAGCAGCATTTACGAATGCCTCAAGAGCATCAGCATCTACGAATGCATCAAGAGCATCAGCATTTACGAATGCCTCAAGATCAGCAGCATCATCAGCATTTACGAATGCAGCGAACCTCGGTAAGAGACCACCAGGGCATCTTCTGCTGCCTCCTCTCTGCGCTGATGAAGAGCAGAGACTCCGCAGCTTCTGCGACAGAAGCAGCAACGGCACGCCGCGCTAAAGCAGCAGCGACAGCAGTCCTTGTGGGCAGAGGCATCTTTGCTTCACTTGTGCCTTCTCCCCAGCTCTCTGCCGAGGCTTTTCTGCAGCATCGCCGCATGCAGCAGCGAGGGCTGAGACTCTCGGCAGCGGAAGCCGCTGCAGGATGCCTCATCGGCGAGGCTCCCCGCCATGCACGCACTGGCACGTCGTTCTCTGCAGCCCAGCACGGGGAAGGCTCACTGTCGCTGCCGCTTGCTCCTTTGGAAAGTGCATGCGGAAAGCGCGCGACATCTCTGCAGGAGCAGTGAGAAGGCTCGGGAGGGCACTCGAGCGCGTGCAGCAGCTGCAGCACCACGCGTCGTACAGACTGCCCTGCAAGCGCCTCCTCATCATCCGCATCCTCTTCCTGTTGCTGCTGTTCATGCTGCTGCTTCTGCTGCTGCTGCAGCTGCCTGTGCCGTCGCCGTCGCTCCTCCTCTTCTGCTGCTGCAGACTCCGCTGGAGCGTCAAGCGGGCTGTTCACGGAGAGTCCAAGGTACTGGAGCTGCATGCTGCTGAAGCGTTGCTGCAGCAGCAGCGCTCGAAGCAGCAGGCTCTGCTCGCCACTGCTCCAGTCGATGAAACTGTTCGGATTCTGCTGCAGCTGATGCTCCTCCGCTGCAGATAGCTGGCAATACGGCAGCAGCAGCGAGAGCAGCAGCGTAAGACCAGGGAAGGTTTCCACATCCTTAGGATCGCGTTGTCGTGCTCCTGCTGCTTGTGCTTGTGCTTGTGCTTGTGCTTGTGCTTGTGCTGCTTGTGCTGCTTGTGCTTGTGCTGCTTGTGCTTGTGCTGCACTCTGGATCTGCTGCCTGGCGCTGCAGGGAGAGGCGAGTGATCTCCCTATGAGGCCAAAGTCGCGTTCCTCGGAGGCTGCAGCTGCACTCTCGGAGGCAGACGGATAGACGCTGCTCTTGACAGCGACTGCCTCTGCTGCGGCTGCTCGCGCTTCCTCCGCACCGACCAGAAGCACTCGCGACTCCGAACATCGCGCACACTCCGAAAGAAAGCAGACGCCTTGCACCACGAGACAACGACCAGTGGTGCTAAGGGGGTTCGAGGCTTCTGCTGCGGCAGCAGCGGCAGTCTTGCTGCTGCTGCCGCTGCAGCTGCCGCTGCCGCCCTGCCTTTGCTGCTCGTCCTCCCCCTCCTGCAGCATCAGCGCCTCGTAGGTGCAGAAGTAGCGCTGCAAAAGACCGATGCATGCATCTAGCAAGACAGGCGCAGCAGATCTGAACTGCCCTCTCAGACGGCATTCCCAGCTGATGCATCCTGGGGAGCAGCCCATGCCTGCCGCGAGTGACGGCTCGGAGAGGAAGCTCTCGACTGCCGTCGAAGAAGCAGCGACGAGCTCTGCAGAAGCCTCTGGCACGAAGCCGCTGCTGCCGTCGCGCATCCCCTGCTCAGCAGAGGCAGAAGAAGTCACTGCACCGACGGCAGAGGGAAGACGCCTTCCCCCCCTTGCCAAGGGAGAATCGGGGGAAGTCGACGTGCTGCTTGTGCCTTCGGAGGAAGCGTGCAGCTGCAAGCCTTCCTGAGCGGCAGCAGCAGGGGTTCTGCGGCTGCTGCTCTCCAGCGGCGCGACTGTAGGAGCCACGCTGTGAAAGACAAAGCCGCAGCAATGGCTGCTGCAGTTGCTGCTGCTGTAGCTGCTGCTGTAGCTGCTGCTGCGGGGACGGCAGAGCCGTGCGACAAGAACGCAGCAGCGAACCGCCTGCACAGCAACTGCAAGGTGCCCTTGGTCTGTCAGTTGCATGTTGCTGATGCGCAGCAGCAGCAGGATCTGCTGCAGCAGGGGATGCACGAGCTGCAGGAGCGACGTCACCCAGCAGCAGCCGTAGCAGCAGCAGCACTCTTGCTTGTGCTGCTGCGCAGCCTCCAGGAGCTCCACGTAGACGAGGAGACATGCCGCAGCAGTTTTGGAATCGAGGGACGGTTTCTGCGACAGCGCACGAAGCGGAAGCGGAGTTCAAAAGACGGACGGACAGACGCGAAGTCACACCCAATGTCGGAAGGGCGAGGGAAGCCGCACTGCATGAGAAGACGACGGATCGCTCCTCGAGGCAGCTAAAACTAGTTCTGCAGTCTTTTGAACGCAACTCACCTTGATCTGCAAACGCCTTCGTGTCGTCTCGATGGCAGCGACAGGGGCTGAAGCAGCCGCTGCAGTGCTGCCTGGCGCAGCAGCAGCCGAGGCATCTTCTGCAGCAGCAGACAGCATGCCAGGCGCCAGCAACACGCTGTATGCGCGTCTCCCTGGTGCGATTTCCAGCAGCAAATGCAACAAATGCTGCAGCCGCTGCTGCTGCTGCTGCTGCAAAAAGCTCGGGCAGTCGCGCAGCAACACCTGCAGCAGCCTCAAGGCTGAATGCAGCACGAACCGCGTGCTGTCGCTAAAAGAAGACTCCCCTGCTGCAACGTCGTCTACTGCTGCCGCCGCTGCTTCGGCTGCTTCAGCGGCTGCTGCCTGCTGTACAAGCTCCTGCGCAGATTCACAGCATCCTCACATCAAGGATGGAGGCATATGCATTGCACGCGCAAGCGAGACAAGAATAGCCGCAGCAACTGCAGTTGCAGCTGCCTTAGTACGGCAAATCGACGCACCATTACACGTGCCAACATCTGTTCTGGCAGACTTTCTGCCGCAATGCAGCAGCAAGGCATGATCTGCGCAGAAAAATTCGTTTTCGCCGCAGTATGAGTTTGGTCTTGAGGTGCTGCCGCTTCAGCGCTTTCTGACTGCGGCGGAGATTCACTGGCTAGAGGCGTCGAGCTTCTTGCTGCCTTAGGACTGTCTGCTGCAATGTGTGCTGCTGTCAGCCGACACGCCGCCTCGTCAGCTGCTGCAGGTGCAAGAAACGCATTTTTCTCGGTAAGAAAAGCGCCGGAAGAGGGCACAGGCTGCACCCTAGCAGAAAGTGGCGCTGCCGCTGCCGCCGCGCTGAGAGAGGTCTTCCTGCTGCTGTTGCCGTTGCTGTTGCTGCTGCTGCTTCTTCTCCTCCTCCTCTCGCTGCTGCTAGCTGCCTGGCTGCTGCTGCCGCCGTGGCAGCCGTTGGTCGTCGTCGCAGCACGTCCCCTCAAGGCAGCTTCCGCAGCTTCTCGCTGCTGCTGCCTCAGCAGCAGCAGCTCCCTGCGTCTCGTGAGGATTGTGCAGCAGCACAGTCTTGCTGGTGGCTGCGGCTCGACGAGGGAGCTGCAGACGCAGCTTTTCTGCTGGAAAGACAGCAGCTGCGCCAAGACTCTGTGCAGCAGCTGCTGCAGCTGCTCCTGCGGGTGGGCAGGAGCTGCATGCAGCAGCAGCAGCAACGCAGCGTGCTGCTCTGCAGAGTCGAAACTCAGCCAACGAGATCCGACAAGCTGCCGCAGCAACGCAGCGCACAAGACTTGCGTCGGGAAGGCGTTCCTGCCACTGCTGCTGCTGCTGCTCCTCCCGTCGCACGCCGTCGCAGCAGCCTGCAGCGTTTGCTGCCCCCGCTGCGAAAAGATGCAGCAGCACTCCGAGGCACTGCACAGGCAAACGAGGTGGTGGGGAGGCTGCTGCAGCGGTTCTTGCGCGCGCTGCGTCGCGGCATCTGCCTTTTCGCCGCTCACGCGCTCTCCTGGAGCGGCTAAGGCTGCTTTCGCGGCAGCAGCAGCGTGGCAACATGAATGCACGAAGAGCAGAGGGATGAATCCGCATATTGCATACGCT